CTAGGAAATGGGGTGTCTTCAGCTTGTAGAGTAGGGATTCTAGGAAGCCAAGCAAGCTCAGCAAGGCGCATAGTCTGAACGCTGTACAACCCACCTCTTATGTGCCGCACAGCTACTTGGGGCTCTCAGGATATCCAGACCTCACAGGTTAATAAGAGCCCTCAGCGCTGCTTCAGGAAAAGATGTGACCGCCCATTACTTCTGTGTTATCATCTGGTGGGTTACCAGAAAGTGACTCAAAAGGAACTGGCTGCGGGTAGCAGAGGAAAACCTGAGTGATGGAAACCCTGAGTGAGTGTGTACCATGCCAAGGATTCTAGCCTCAGAGCCATGGAAAATGGCAAAACCTCCCCCAGCCCCAGGTTGAGGCTCAGACCCATGGAAAATGGCAAAACCTCCCCCAGCCCCAGGTTGAGGCTCAGACCCATGGAAAATGGCAAAACCTCCCCCAGCCCCAGGTTGAGGCTCAGACCCATGGAAAATGGCAAAACCTCCCCCAGCCCCAGGTTGAGGTTCAGAGCGATGACAAAGTCATCCTCTGGTCTGAGTGTGAGTGTTAACGGTGTGTATAGAAAATGTCCATATGGCTTTATATGCCCCACCCTGGATATTGAAGATAAACCTGCTCCCTACAGAGACTGCTCTCTCTGAAAATAGTTAACCCTGTCTCCTTGACCCAGCAGAGTACCACAAACCCTGCCCTCATGATTCTGCTGTAAACAATACCTCAGCCTCTCAGATGAAGTGTATCTAATAAAAGTCCTGAGTTCTGGAAGGGCGAGTTAGAGGAGGGGAAGTGCTATTTCTTGCCTCACTCAGGCCAATCCCTGGAGCCATGCAAAGACGTGGTAATAAACAAAGCCATCTTTTATCTATGTGTTTTCGACAAAGTAGGTGCCTACTTGGGTGATGTTTGTCTACTGTCTTTTATGTAGCTAGCAACCTAGGGTCAGTCTGCAAAAGATGATACAGAATGTTGGTCCACTACATAAAGGGCTTCACCAAGGAAAGAGGGGGAATGTGAGATGGATGGAAGCCATATCCTGTCACTACCCTGGCTCCTAAGAGCTCCCAACTTCACGCCTCTTGGTTGGTTGGAAATGTTGCCATCTCTTGGTTTCTGTGCTCTGTAAATTTGCAGTATGCTTGCTGAAAAATCAGGTTCTTCAAAATAAGATAGATATTACATATGGCTTTGATGGGGTTGAATGACCTTAGGAATTTCTTGGTCTCTACAGATCATCATCTCTGCTTGAAAAATACAGATGATGTACTGTTCCTGTATTTGATGGATTAATTAAACTGCCCATAATTTTATCCTTGGGATCAGTTTGACTTATATACAGTAATTAGTCTCCTGCCATAATATTATATTTTATTGATTAATATTGATTTAGAAGTGCTATGTTTTTAATTATAAATAACATTGTTGTATTTCTTCTTAAATAACCAGAGACTGAATTAATTATGAAGGTTTTCAACCTGTCATAGAAATAATTAATTGGCTTCCTCTACCTCATGATTTGGAATGTTTACATAGCACAGAAATGCTATTTTCCATGACCTTTTCAATTATGTGGTGAGAACATGCTTTCTTCTTCCTATGTCTGTATTTCAAGTGTGAATATTTCAGAAATTACATTATCAGCATTTTTTCTTAACTTTCTTTTTACTTATTCTTTGTGTCTTCACACCACGCATTTTGATCCCATTCATCTCCCTTCCCTTTGTATCCACCCTTTGCCTTTGCAACCTCCCCCCTCAAAAATAAAATTTAAGAGGAAAAAAAATTTAGTCATGAAAGCTGTAATGTGACACAGTGAGTCATATGGTTTTCCTTTTTTTCCATATATCTTCAATTGCAAGTGTTCTTTGCAAAGAGTCATTGGTCTTGTTCGAGGCCTTTGGCTTCTGCTACACCGTTGGTGCTGGACCCTCGCTGGTACTCCTTTTGGATATCCCATTGTCGCCCTGTGTCGTGGAGATCCTGTAGGTTTGGGGCTTCAGGACCGGGCCCCTTCTATGCTCCAGCAGTCCATGGATGGGGTGGATGTTGGGGTGCAAAACTCCTAACCCTGGTTCTGAGCCTGGGTAATTTGCAGAGTTGGTCAGCCTACCAGCTGCCCTTCCCCATCCTCGCGATGCGACCAGGGTGAGCTCTCTGGCACTGCCCTGGCTAGTTCAGTTCATGCCTTGCAGAAATGAGCACAGGGCGGGGCCACTTCTCCTGCTTTCATGCTGTTTCACAGTAGCACCAGCTCTATTGTGTAGTCCAGGAGAGGTGCAGGGGCCACTCTCTCGTGAGCTTCACTGCTTTTATCTTTTCAGATATGTCCCTGTCCACAGGACGTGAATCAATCTCTGTCTCTGTTTTTCGGTCTCTCTGTCTCTCTGCCTCTGCCTCTGCCCCCCCCTTTCTCTCCCATACCGTTCCATACATTTGCTCTGTAATAGTGCCTGTGCCACAAGGCAGGCCTATGTTTTCTCCTTGGAGAGCAGGAAAGACCCTGGCAGGCATGGGGGTCTCCTTGTCCCGTTCAGTCTGTCATGAAGTTGGGCAGGACCGTGCTTTCTCCTACTTATCAGAATTCTTACACCAGTAACATTCACACACATTCTACCCTCACTTTTAATCTTTTCTAAAGCAAATATTTAGTTTAATTTTCGATTTTATCTTTGTTGCAATTTTATTAATCTGTACTTATTTGCAAGAGATGTAAGAATTCTGGTTTCTCAAAAATAATCGTTTTTCGTACTTAATATTTAAAAGGACACTTACATTGAAAACTAGTTTGGGAATTTAATAAACCACAAACATTTATATCACAATTAGAGATTTTACTATTTTATTATATTTTTATTTAAAAACATTTCTTCAATCATTCTACTGAAGTTTTATTTTCTAAAATGTTTAGCTCTATTTGAATATCACTTCTTCCCATCTATTTTCTATAGGGCATTTCAAATTTTCAAAATATAATTATTTTTTTTATTTTTTTATTTTTATTAATATTTTTTTATTTTCCATTTTAAATTTAGATAAGAAACAAGGTTGCTTCACAAGTCAGTACGAGGTCCCTCTCCCTTTCCCTCCCCTCCTCCCGTGCCCTCCTCCCATCCCCCCCCCGTTATCCCCTCATTCCCCCAGGGAGGGTGAGGCCCTCCATGGGGGTGTCCATGGTCTGTCATTTCATATAGGGCAGGGCCTAGACCCTTCCCCAAGAGTTCAGGGTGAGAGTGCACCTCACATTGTTCTATGGGAGTCCAAAGTCTGTGTGTATGCTTGGGATGGGTACTGATCTGCTGTCCAAGGCTCAATAGATTACCTAGGCCTCCTCACTGACACCCAGAAAAGAGTGTTTTATTGGTTTGTCCTCTCTAGATCTTCTATTAGTTGGGTTTAGTTAACTTTATTTTGTGTATACGAGTGTTTTCCTTGCATGTATATATCTGTGCACCACATGTGTACAGTGACCCCAGAGCCACTGGATTCTCTGGACCTGTAACAAATGATTGTAGGGAATCATATGGATGCTGAGACTTGAACTCAGGTACTTAGGAAGAACAGCAGTGCTCTTAACTGCTGAGCCATATTGCTGGCCCCTCTATTTAACTCACTAACAGCCCTTTAAGCATCACTTTGCTTGGGCTGTAATTCTAGGTATGCCCTATAAATTTCCACAGACATAATTTTAACTGCTTACCAAATAGCCATTGGCCATTGTTTTTTCTACAACTGGTAAAATAGCATCTTGAGAAAGATACTTTGCTTTTGCTTTTAAAAATATTATATTGTTGATATTATAAAATTTGAACTTTGTGTGTGCATATGTGTGTATCATTTACCATGATACATGTAAATTTTAAAAATGTTTTGACTATTTTTGTATATATATGCATGTACATGTATGTTTATTTTATGTATGCATTTGCTCATGTGTGAGGGCATACACATGCCTCAGTGTGTATGTATTTAGATCAGATAACATCCTTGGGTGTCGGTCCCCCACTTGAGGTGTGGTTCTTTCTTGTCTGCCCTTGGGAGCATCCTGTATCCAGCTCTCATCTCTGTAAGAGTGCTTCTCTTACAGACAAGGGCTACTGTAGGATTGGTGCAGTTACAGACAAGGGCTTCCAGACTCTGTTATGTTCAGGTTTCATGTGGATTCTGAGGATCCAAATTTAAATCATGAGGCTTGTGCTGTCCGTATATGGAATTTTACTTTTTTTTATATGAGGCAAATAGTACTAATAGTATAGGAGTTGTTGGAAATATATTCTCAGTAAGCAGACTGTAAGATGTGTAAGTAGTAATAACTACATTTACTAATTTCAACAACAGAATATCTTAATAATTGTTGATTTTCAAGACAGGATCTTGCTGTCTATCCCTGTCTGATCTTGTAATTCTCCTGCCCCAGCATCCTGACTGCTGGGGTGACAGGTGTGTGCCTTATTGCTTAAAGATTACAGGCTGAAGTCTTGCCTAGCACGATTGAGGTTCTGGATTCAATGCTCAGTACTACAAACATGCAGAAAGAAAGAGAGAGACAGAGAGACACACAAATAATTAAAATTAACCTAATAGCTTGAAATTTTCTGGCAATAATAATGTAATGATTTCTCCCACAATAAGTAAGTGCATATTAGCTTTTCTTTGTCATTTAGAAGTTTCACTGAATCCTTCTATTTTCAATGGTTTTTCTATCTTTGTATTATTATTATGTCATTGTCAATGTAAATGACACTTCTTATACTTTGTCTTTTGCCTCAGGTTTTTTTCTGTTATGGCATTGTCAACTTTGGCTCAACTTAAATTTACAGTATTTAATTTATTTCTAAATTACTTTTATTTGTATTATTGTAAATAGAATGGCCAGTCTGAGGATCTCAATTCAAATTGAGTCTTGCTAGTACATAGCAGATAGTCAATGAAAATCAGTAATCTGGAATGGCATTAACCTTGCTACATCCCCATTTCATTTTCTGTTTCATTTTAGGTGGGCCATAAAGCATAAAGGGATAAGAAAGCCAGGCCAGTGGAAACACTCCAAAGTTGAGAATCCTCTGTGGAAAAAGCTCATGTACATGTGGCCAGTTCTTCCCAGTGGTCAGCTTAATGAGGTTGGATGACTTTAGTATATTCATATAGTGCATATATAGTATACATCCAGTATCTGGTCAGCATTCTGAAAATGCCCTTGTACCTTCTGAATTTCAATATTAAAAGAATCTTGTTATTTCTGTTGATTACTGAAAAGAGGTACATCTTTCACTGTGAAACAAATTGATCTGGCTTTTTCTTGTAATTCTTCAAATTTTGTTTCTATACTTTGAAACAGATCTTATGCACACATGGTCAGATAGTATATGATAGTCAAATTCATCATTATATAGAAACTCTGTCTACTTCTAATAAAAGTATCAGTCAGTATTCAATGACATTAAAAGCATTCCAAAATATGTCTAGTATGTTTTCTTTCCATCATTTTACTCTCTGGTTTTGCATATTCTTGGAATGGGCCCAATAATCAACTTAGGAAGTTGACCTGGCATCACCCTATCTAAACTAAACCTTTTAGCCTTGTCTATTCTAACTACACATGTACTTGGATTTCTATTTTCTTTCTGTTTTTCATGCCTTATCTTCCCTTCATGCCAGTCTTTTATTCTTTTATCGTGGCTTTTTTGTCCTGATAGTTTCTCCATTTACTGGTTTGTACATTGTTCTTTCTATTTTCCTTCCTTTGGGGGTAGTATTATTGCAATTACCCTGAACATTCCAAATTGCATAAATAAATGATCAAAATGCAAAGTTAGTAAACATGTTTTGTCTTCTCTCAAGTAATAGGAATACTGGAATTGTTAACATCAACCTTATGATTTCTGATATGAGGAATTACTTATGCCATATGTTTAAGTTTTATCAATAAAATCCCCACAAGATATTAACTTCTTTCATGAAGTCACTATGTATTTCCACTTCTCCTAAAGTTTTCACCTTACATCTCAGGTCCTCGCCCTAAGGTTACTTTCCTTTTGACCTGCATGCCTTTCGTGCAGTTAGTTCCTAATAGGTAGGTGTCATCTACCTAAAAATGCATTTATTTTGCCCTTGTTTGTGTCAGATTATATCCCCAAATTCTTTGACCCTTACTTGTAAAATAAAGGGAAAGAACTGAGGCATTAAATTAGCTAGAGTCAGATGGATGGACTACATCTTCCAAAATGACTGGGTTTCGGGGTCCCGCTGCTTCTTGAAATGTTTGGGGAAGAAAGTACTTAGCAAGCAGGGAACTCAAATTAAATACAACCCATTTCACTTCAAGTCTGCGTCCATTTCATTTGAAAGACCCATATTTCCAAATCCTTCTTCACATAATTGATTTGGAAATTCGAAATTCATATTGTGGAATTTAGAAGCCTTTGGTATGTGTTCATTAATTTTATTCCTGATTTGATCTCCAAGTTTATGTTGTATCTATTGTTTGTAATGTATTTAAGGGTCAGGAAGGAGAACAGGGAAATAGATGTCACCTCTGACCCCCATATCTTACAGTTGAATATAGGCTGTAAGAGAAGAGAAAAAAAGCAGTAAAAGGAGGCCAAGGTGATGAATAGAGAGTGAAGTGAACAGAGAGACAAAATCCACATACAAGCTTATGTGTCCAGGCAGTAGAGGCTGAGTGTTGAGGAAAAGTGAGTCAGGCTTGAGAGCCTGCATGGGCCTGAAAATTAAGTACAATATTGAATCAAGGAAAAACATCTAACAATCACTGAACTCACTGAGTGAGTATCCAGTTCTTTTAATTTCATGACTATAGCTACTCAAGATACAGTGATGACAAACATAAAAGGTAAGAAATGCAAACACTGTGGAAATACAAAGTTATCTTCACAGTGTCTCAGGTTGCATTCATGCTGAGAAACAGACAGCTAATCTGAGAATCATCCTTTGCTATGGCCACATTTTAGATACTATTTATCCTAAAAGGAAGTTATTAAATGTTATAACTACAAAATTTCCTGAATACAAGAACATCAGTATTTTAAAACATATTAAACCTGGTAAGACATAGAGAATATATTCTTTGGGTTTATTCTAAATAAACCAGTAGTTTTAGTTTGATTATTTTATTTAGGAATTGTTTAGTTTATTTAGGAATAGTTTATAGGAATGAACTCTTGGGTTATTTTCTCAAACCTTGAAAAGTTATAAATTGAGAAATACAGTTCTACATCTTCAAACACAAGGAGTAATGAATTTTTCCTATTCAAGGATGAAAACATTAGAATTAGAGAGTTTAAAGAGGCTTGAGATTTTGGTATGCATTACAGGATAATGATCTTAAAACTGCAAAGTTAAAATACTTCCTGTAAATGGAATTCTTAATTGATATAAACACTAAAAGCCTGGAGTCAGATATTGAGGAAAATACTGAGAGATCAGAGAGAAGAGGGAACAAGCCAAATCCAGCTTTAACTCATTAGTTTCCCAGGGGAAAAGAGAGTTCCTGTTTCTTCCCGTTTATATACTCTTATTGTCCAATCATTTCACTTCCTGTTTCTGCCCAGCCATCTCATTTCTCGTCTGTCTGTACAGACCTCCTGACCTCTGTGGTCAGCTAGTGGCAAGCTCTGTCCTTCGATCTTCAGACAAGCTTTATTTGTACAAGCAAGTTATCACCACAGCATCTATTTGGATAGACCAATGATAGAGGAAAATTAAAAGTGCATGATTTATTAATCTGTTGAGATATGACTTTTTTCAGTGACCAAAAATGATAAAAGGCATGCATAATGTGGATCTGAAGATATAAGATATAAGGGCACTGTGTCTACATATGAACCAGGAACTCTTTAACCAATGATGTGCAGTCTTCTGAAATGTCAGACAAACTCAGAAATAATTTTAAAGAAAGGAAAGGGAAAGAAACACAACCCAAAATAAACAAGCAAGAGAATGGAAGATTTGGTTATTTGTTGCGAACAGACGAAGTGGGGCCAATGTTGTGGAGAAGCTGTAGTCACTGGTTAAGAGCTGACTTCTGAACCAACGTCTCTGTGTATGAGATAAGAGAAAAAGAAAGCAAGGGGAGGTATCCACTCAAGGGAGCACCGAGGCCCATCAAGGGTCTCCTGACAATGCAGCTGTGCTGGAGAATGGCCTGAACACAGAGAAGACCAATAAAGAAATGAGTGGGAAGACCAGAATTCCAACTGAGAAAATGGAGGGGGAGAAACAGCCACAGCCAGTTTAATTATCCATGTTTTCGTTGTCTGTCATTATCCTCTACTTTCGAGAAGGGCAGAGTAAATGCCTTGAATGGGAAATCAGACTTGATAGCTATGATCCTAGCACTTGGAAAGCTGAAGCAGGAAGATTATGACAAGTTTAAGACCATCCTGGGCTATGTAACTAGTACCATGTTAGCGAGGACTACATAGTGATACCTTGTCTCAGGAAAAACAAACACAAACCAATTAAAAAATGTGAGGACAAGAATTAATATATCTTAATTTTTGTTACCTCTGTCTATCTGTCTGTATCTATCTATCTATCTTCATCTCTCTCTCTCTGTCTCTCTCTCACACACATACATGCATGTGTGTGTGTCTGAATGTGCATGTATGAAGGCCAGGGGACAGCTTGTGGGAGTCAGTTTTCCCTTCTACCACATGGGTCCTGGGGACAGAACTTAGGTCATCAGCACCTTTTGGGCTTTTTCCTTCTACCTAGAGATCATAAAACCCATCTGAAGGTAGCAGGGCATCCATGGAGCTGAACAAATGTCCATTATCACTATCACTATCAAGGGCAATTTGGAAGCTAAGTAGTTTAGCTAGGGACTAAACTATCACATCTCAGATTTGTTCCTCAGAAATATACTGTCTAAATCACTTTTGTGTTGTTCTGATAGTAACCAAAGCAACTTATAAAAGACATTTCATTTGACTTATGGTTTCAGAGGGTTAGAGTCTGTGGTGACAAAGGATCAGATCAGTTCAGATCAAAGGAACAGCTGAGATCTCATATCTTGATCCATAACCATAAAGCAGAGAGAGAGTTAACAGGGAATGGTGTGGACCTTTGAAAACCCCACACACAGATACATCTTCTCCAACAAGGCCACACCTCCTGGTCCCTCCCAAACAGTTCCCAAAAAGGAACCAAGCATTCAAATACATGATCTTATGGGAGTCATTCTCATTCAAACCACCACAATCAGGTGTGAAAAACTCTTAGTTCCAAACCCTCATTCTATAAATTGAGAAGCACATGGGCTAACTGTGAGAGAGAATCATTTCTCCCTCTCATGGTTAAAAAGAGAAGGAAAAACGTTAGTAATTTTACACCCAGATGTCAATTTGGAATTAATCTGTGTGTGTACATGTGACCTGTGTGTGTGTGTGTGTGTGTGTGTGTGTGTGTGTGTTGTGTAAACAAGAGAATAATCTTGGGTTTCAATCCTTAGGGATTGTCTATTTGCTCTTTTTTTTTTTGGACAGAGTTTCTCATTAGCCTAGAATTAATAAGCTAGAAAAACTAAAAACAAAGGAGACGGTATCCAGTTTATGGGATTAGGAGAATAACAGTAAGGATGAACTTTTAGAAATTAGGTAGCAGGCTGGGAATGTAGCTCAGTGGTAAAATACATTCCTAGCATGCATAAGGTCCCACATTAGATCACCAATACAAAAAAAGTGCAAAAAATAGGAAGAAGGAAATAAAATAAATTATAAAATCAAAAACTGAGAGATTAAATAGCACAGGTACATAGAAACATCAAAAAATCTGTTCTTTGAAAATATTAATAAAAATATATAGTCATACTTTCTAAAAAAGTTTGGATAAAATGAAATAATATTAAGAATAAAAGAAGATATATGTATAGCTGCTAAGTGATTAGAAAGATAAAGGGATTATAAATAAGTTTATGCTAATAACTATAGTAATTAATAAAATGGCCAACTTCTTTGGATAAAAAGTAGTATATTAAAAAGGAGTCAAAAAGAGACCCAAATGGCTGGTGAAATGCCTCACTGGGTCAGGTACTGGCCACCAAGTCTAAATGACCAGAGTTCCATCCTAGGACCCACACGGTATAAAGAGACAACTGAACTACCTGGCAGGTAGCTCTCTGATCTCTAGCACACCATTGCACACCCACCGCACCCTCCCAATAAAGAAATAAATTTAATTAAAGGAGACAGAAAACCTGAGTGGTCCACCAGTCATGGGGGGCAAAAAAGTAAAAGTCAACCCCACAGCTCCACAATGACCAGTTTTTCTGATTTAAACAAAAAGCAAAGAAATATCTTCCAGTTCACTTCACTATTGTTTTCAATTTGCTCTATGTGATCTATTTAATCTCTGTGGATAGCAATTGCATTCCCCGACCTTCCCAGGTGTGCTCCGGAGCCATCCTTGGTTTCCTTGTTTCCCGCACATCATGCTCCACTAACATTCATATCTGATACGCACACTTCTATCAATCCTTTGCTACACTAAGGCCAGACTCTTACCAATGGAGCTGTACCCCCCCAGCACCCAAACAAACAAACAAACAGAATAAAACAAAATACCCCAATTGGATTGACACAGTATTGCAACTATACCCTAAGCCTTTAGGAATTTAGTGTGGCCTTGCTGAGTTAGGGTCTCCTCTTGTGAGATCCCCTACACATCCTACCTTCATTACCATCCAGTTGATGTCTAAGTAAGTTATCTCAGAAGTATAGATTATTCTGTCCAATTTATAGTTTTAATTCTGTGCCTAAAATAAGTAATCAGAAAATAAATATCAGGAGGGGATGAATTAATAATATGAGTAAAAGTTTAGATAAATAAATGAATTCCACACCAGAAATGTCTGAAACGTATTATTATTTCATCGGCTTATTTTGCTTTTCAACTTCTCTCAGTGTAGTCTGCCCTGCCACCTGGATCCAGCTTAAGATGGTATAATTTCAGGCTATTATAAAATTCTTTTTCACACATTTTCGTTTCCTTCACACTGACTAAAAATACTTCACACAAAAGCAAAACCAAAGACACCTGAGGTTAATTCACTTCTACTCTTCTAGAATGTTTCTTTGATACTTTAAAAAATGATCAATTTTAAATTTAAAAAGTTGGATACTTTAAAAACAGTGATCCATTTTAAATTTTAAAAAATCACTGAATTCTATTTTCTGGGAAAAAAAACCCAACAACCTAGAATTCTTTGGAGCAGTTCAATACATTTTTGCTAAGTGAATGAAGGATTAAAGGTACAAAAGACTCATATTATTTATTGCTCTTACATTCTTTCATTCGCTTTTGAAGGCATTTGACTGGCCAATTGAAGGTCTACTGGTGCCAAACAGCCCTCCCATGAAGAGGCCAGCTTGTAAGACACCAGAGCAGTGTGCCCCTGTGAGACTCCGAATTCTGAGGAATGGAGATAAGAAAAACAGCAGGACCCTGGTTATGGGCCCAGACCTCTCACCAGGATGGAAATCACAGTAAGAGCAGTAAACCATTCACACTCACCTTTTAGTACATTCTGCAGGTTCTGCAGATGTGAGTCTTGGGTTCGAATGATTTCTGGAGGGATAATATATGTATTTACAAAAGGGTCCTATTTGAAGATGAAGCAGACACATGATTTTATTTAGTTTCTAAGATATCTAACTGTGTTAGTCCACACACGAACAGAAGAGTTCCAAAGGCATCGTGGCTGCAATTTACACAATTCTCTCTATGTTTTCAATTAGTGCTTTGGTTGTGTGTGTAGACACAAGTGTAGTGGCATCTCACTCCATCAGTGGATTTGCGGTGGTGGCCGCAGCCGAGGGGCGTGGCTTCAGGTGTGCCAAGTGACCTCTTATAAGGAACAGGAGGGGCTGGCTCTCTCTCTCTCTTGGGTTGTGAGGGCAGAGACTGCATTTTTAGGTGAGAGAGCCAGCATGCTTGTTAAATTTAGCTTTTGAATTGCTTAATGATTATTGTAAATAATTTTCTTGTATCTCTGGGTTATTTAAGACATGCAGTTCTCTGAAGTACTAGGGAGGCGCTGACTTCCACGTAAACCCGTCCCAAACATCCTGTACTTGTCTACCACTAGAGACAAGTCACCTGCTGTAGGTTTCTATTTCATGGATTGTGGAAGAGCTTTGATGGGAAGAATGAGTTAAACACATTGTTTCTCATATAATTACCAGCAATGTTACCTCTTGACCTTTCTTCTGAGATATTTAGGATATCGGAGGCTGCTGATAATAGTTTAATATTACTCTCTTCACATCGATTAAATACACTTCATACATCACTGAACAATGAGTAACATTCAGATTGGCTGTCCGCTGAACTGCCTGTAAAGATGATAAAGTAAAAAATTAATCTTCAAAGTAAAGTCAAGCCTGAAATTGAAATCTTTGACGCATACATCTCATAATTAGCTCATTCTGCTCCATGTAAGATGGGAGGGTAATGCCCTTAAAGAGAGTATGACTTTTCTCTAAACACTTCAAGTTAACACTTCGTTTCTGTCCCTCTCTACATTTATGCTTCTTTTCCTATTTTGTACCTTTAATTGTAATTATAAATTATACACAGATAGCATCTTATCACCTTAGTGTTTAAAGTACTTAGCTCAGTCAAGGAATTCAAAAGTATTTTGAGAGATTGACAAATTTGAATAATTATCCTGGCAGAGAGTGTGTGAAATGCCCGTTGTCTGAAATGCTTTGCTCTTACTAACATGAAATGTATTAAATTTTTTAAAGTTGAGCTATTGTGAATATGTATATATGTAAGTATGTATGTATGAATAGCATTCTGGAATAATGATAGGGATTCATTTTAGCGCCATCCTGCTCTGGCCACAAGCTGTGCTTCAGCTGTGTAGCAACTCACTGTGGACGATTTTGAGGGTTTGATATTGGTGTTGGTACCATCATCTATAAAGCCTGAGGAAGACAGTCCTGGCCTCTCTGTGTCGTGATCACCTGCTGTGCTGTTGCACATTTCAGTATGCCTGCTGCCTGCTCTGTCGCATCAAGGATTAAAGCATTAGAAAGCCACTTTAGTACCACCATCAGGAAGTTGAGGGGGTGGGGGTAGAATAGGGGGAAGAGGGAATCATAGGTTCGAAGACAGATCAGGCACCAGTGTGACCTCGAGTGATCTAAAGGGATAACACCAATTGGCAAGCTAAGCAATAGTGGAGGGACCACCTCGAATGCCCATCCCTGATAATGAACTTGATGTCTATAACCATCCGGGAGCCTTCATCCTGTGACTGATGGAAGCAGAGGCAAACACACAATTAATCACTGAACTGAACCCAAGGAACCCAGTGACAGAGAGAGAGGAGTGATGAGCAAATTGGCAAAGAATGGGCTGGCAAAACCAGCAGAGACAGCTGATCTGAACAGGGGAGAGCTCTTGGACCCCAGACCAACAGTGGGGAGGCCAGCATGGGACTGATCTGGACCCCCCAAATGTGAGTGTCAGTGAGAAGGCCTGGGCAACCTGTGGGGCCCTGAGCTGTGGATCAGTGTCTATCCCTGGTATACAAACTGTCTTCATGTGCCTATAGCACAAAGAGGGATGCTCTCTCAGCCTGGACTCTTAGGGGAGTGCCTGGACCCTACCAAGAGTAAAATGACAGACTCTAGATATCCCCTATGTGGAAGGATTTGGCAATAGGGTGGGAGGGAGGGGGGGAAGGGGAGTGCGGGAGGAGGGGAGGGAGAGGGAACTGGGATTGACATGTAAAACAAGCTATTTAAAATTAAAATAAAAAATGATAAAAAGAAAAAAAAAAAGCCTACAGTGGGCACCACAATAGCGCTCATGAGTGATTAGCTGCATTTGATCCATTTTCCATTTTCTAAGACACAGTGATTATAAAACTACACAGAACAGGTTCTCTGACTTCAAAATCGGAATAAAGATATATTCCGATCAGGTATTTGTTTTCTGATGAAATCTAAAATTTGTCTAGATTTAGATTCATAATAGAATCATTAAGTAAATAAAACATTACAGAGAAAAATGAATGTCATCTTTAAGTTTTTAATTAACATTTTAGAGTGTCCAGAACTGTGGAAAAAGGATCAGAATATTGCAGATTTTCTTTTACAAATCCCTCACAGAACACGTGTTTCTTTAGGAAGCCATATCATCCAGTATACAGTTTGAAGTTTTACACTGAATTATGAAATATGAAGTTTAATATTCAATTCTGTTAAAACTTGAAGTTTCATATTTTAAAGAAAGGTAGATTATTGGCAGCAAATCATTATAAATTAAGCTCTCACCACTTTTGCACATGTTAAGACATGCTGTAGCTAGTCAACCATGTCAATAACATGCACATGCCTTGAATTGTATGTTGCAGAAATGTTAATGCTGAAAGGAAGGAGAAAAGCCGTGCCGCAAACTATTCTGAAACAGAAAGAAACCAGATTGAATTTCACCACCTTTTAGAGAGGTAAATGTTTACTATTTGAAATGCAAATGTGCTTTGCATATGAATGCTTGGGTGGTCATGCTTAACAGATAGCACACAAAACATTTCTATATATAAGTTGTGAATGTAATGACTGTAGACATTTTTAATCATGTGTTGTGATAGGAGGTCAAAGCTAATTTACAAAATCTCCCTCCAAAACACAAAACTGGAAAACTCCAGAAATCCCAAAACTAGAATAACAGAGATCTGGCATTTGGATCTAGATAATCAGACTCCAGAAGACACATTCGTTATAAGGTGCTAGAAGTCAGTTGTTTTCTGCTCCACATGTTGGTGCTGGCCAGCATGGAAACTACAAAGAGAAAGGAGTGTACAGAAAACTGCTTGTCTCATCCCTCGGAAGCCTGCCTGGAAGGGCCAAACTGAGCTCTAAAACTAGGTTTTCGAAACAGGATAAAGGATAAAGAAAGATTAATTAGCCACCCATTCCTTCTCCTCTGTGACCCAACCGTGAGTGCAGGAACAAATGCTGACATGCTGTGGACTTGTAACCACATGGATGGGAAATGACGTCAGTCCAGGGAAAGGAGGCACTGCATTAGCCTTTTCGTTATCACTCAAATAGTAGAGGGCAATCCCACCCACTGCTGTGAGTGAGGAACCGCACTCTGTACACTGCTCCATCAAATGGAGCATGAGACAATGTACTTCTTTCTGGCTTATTTCCTTTCAAGACCCACTCAAGACATATCTGGTCTCATTATCTGCTTAATTGCTGCATGCTGATGAAGTTAGAAATGCTTGTGCTAAGTGTAGCTGAGGAACACAAAGTCATTTCTACCTCACTACATGTGGTACCAGTAATGCGTGTCAATGCCTTCATCCAACAATATTGTTTAGGAAATGGCCCAGCTCATCTGCCAGCTCTACTTCTGTCCCCCCAGGGTCTAAGCATAGTCAAGGCCAATACACCTATGTTCCAATACCTTCAGCGGCTCTCTGTGACCTAGAACTCCGGTTTGTCATTCTAGAATCCCAAATACCTTCAAGCTGCTCCCATCTTCTTTCCAGACTCATCAGATCCCCCAATCCATTCACATACTCAGGCCCAGCCTTAACTCTTCTTTTTTTTTTTTTTTTTTTTTTTTTTTGGTTTTATGAGACAGGGTTTCTCTGTATTGTTTTGGAGGCTGTCGGACCAGCCCGGCCTCAAACTCACAGGCATCCATATTCTCTGACTCTTACAGTCTTTCTATCTCCATCTTCCATGGCATTTCCTGAGTCTTAGGCTATGTTGTAGATCTCCCAACTAAGGCTAGACACTCCATTGTCACATACTCTCTGCATTTTTTACCAGTGGTGGATCCTTGTAGTAGCCTCTGCCTACCGAGAAAAGAAAGTTCTCTGATGAGGGGAGGGCCCTGCACGTATCTTTATATTATAAATTATAATATTAAATTATAAATTATATTGGTTTAGAAAAATATCAGTAGTGAATTCTTCTGTAGGGTCCATGACCTCTCCAACCATAGGAAGTTATCTAGGTTTACAGTACTAGGCCTGGATTCCCTCCTATTGAATGGGGTTTTAATTCCAATTAGACTAGCTGTTAGTTACTCCCCAAGATAGTAGTCCCATTGGAGGTATCTTACTGGCCAATTATTTACTGAAACCAAGGCTTTATAGTTGGGTGGGATTATTAAGCCTGCATAGTACTTTCTGATATTATGAGAGCTAGCCCCCAAGAAGGAGACTTCCACGTCAGTTATAACTTGATTCCTCCAAGTTCTGTGTCTGAAGTGTAAGGTGTCTTATGCAATTGGGTCTCACTTTTGAGTTCTGAGGAAACCTAGGGCAAGAACAATAGTCTATGCTGTTTTAGGAGTCTCTTGGAAACACAGCCAACAGCTCTAAAAGGGAGTTTCAATGTCTGGCATAGGGGTTTTATTAGTCTTGGGAAAATATCACCCTATGTGGTATAAGTAACTACATTTGAACTATATAAATGCACATATGCATAAATGTATGTACATTGGTTGTTTTTTTTTTTTTTTGGTTTTTTACGAGACAGGGTTTCTCTGTATTGTTTTTGAGGCTGTCGGTCCAGCCTGGCCTCGAACTCACAGAGATCCGCCTGCCTCTGCCTCCCGAGTGCTGGGATTAAAGGCGTGCGCCACCACCGCCCGGCGTACATTGGTATTTTTAAGTAAGCTTATAAAATAATGTTTCCCTTACTGTCTTTTCACACATCCTTAGTGTTGCCTCTTCTTCCTCTTTCTCTCTGTATTACTCTCCTTTCCCCTCCCCAGTCAAAGTCTTGTCTGCCCCTCTCCTCCCCCTTCCTCCCTCCATAACATCCACGTTGTTCATGTACTCTTAATGAACTCCTAGTTATGCTTTCAAGTCCAGGCTATGTCACTTCCTTAGACAAAACCCCTGCAGGAAGGAATTCACTGGTTTCCTTTGTCCTTAAAAGATGCTGGCCATTGCTTACAATGCCCCCCCCCCCCCGCATCACACTATGAGTCAGCCGATGGCCTGTCTTCACTCTTGGCTAGATAGGTGACTCCTCCAGGAGTCAAGAAGGTACGTCATTTGTCTCAGTGCCCACAAAATATTGTGGGAAACTGAGGAGCAGGGAATCATTGGTAACATTTAACCAGGCAAAAACCCTGGTTTCAATCACTTCTGTGAGAGGAGGAAGAGGAGCTGCTGGGTGACAGGTGTGGCTTTGGTGACTTTGGAGCAAGCATGGAACTTCAACTGAGAAAGCCAAAGAATGTATTTTCGGTAAAAGGATGGACATGAGTTAAAGTCACAGAAATGGCCAGATGTAGATAAGCACAGGCTGCGAAAGTTCAAGTTTCTTAAGACCGTAGACCAGAGACAGGAACTGAGAGTCAAAAGACACCCTGGCTCGTGAGTCCTCATTAATGGCCGGGCCTTGGTTTCTTTTGTTTTCTTACTTTGGAAGCTGTCTGTATGCAAAATCAATTTATTCGTCTCTTATTACAGGTGCACTGAAATTTTAAATTTACCCTCTGCTGCTCGGAGACTTTTCAATGAAAAGGGGAAGGAAATTTGTTCCGTGAATGACCTACAGAGAGATGAACTGGTAACCCAAGAGAGGGTGGAATCAGAAATGTGAATACATGAGCGTGAGCTAAGGAAAACAGCCCTCAATGCTTCCATGCTTGCCATTCGTATTCTCTCTCAGAGTTCCCACCACCCAAAAGCAATACTAACCAATAGCATTGCTGCCTTCCTAGGCAGTGGGCCGGCTCTGCATGACTAATCATGATAAATAAATATATGGGTATCATGCCGCTATAAAAAAGATACCTTTTTCTCCACTATGGAGCCTAAGGCAGGCCAATTATTCACCACTTCTGATTTCTACATCTGTTGCTGATTGAGATAGATCCTTAACTCGTTTTGAAATCAATATGTAGTTATTTAATGATTTTCTTACCAAATCACTAATTTCCTCAATTTCTCAGATTTAAAAAAGAGTATACATTTTTATTTGCTCTACTTGGAGTCTAGAAAAAGCTGAGAAATGGACAGTCTTGCACAACCTAGTCTTGCTCCCCCATTTCTGGATTTACAGATATCAGCATAGGTAAAAACATTCCTTTCCTTGACTGATGCCTGAAGTTCCTTGAATAAAGACCAAAGCTCATATTATAATATCAAATCTCCAAGCTGGACATGGTGGTTCATGCCGGTAACCACAGTACTCCTAGAATCTGAAACAGGAGAATTGTTGTAAGTTCAAGGTCAATTTTAGCTATATAGTAAGTTCTGAGCCAGTCTGGTCTGTGTAGGGAGACACTGTCTCAAGAAAAAGCAGTGCATTAACACATACACACAGACACACAGACACACACACACACACACACACACACACATGCACACGCACACACACGCACATGTGACCAAAGCAAACTAAAACAAAACAGCTTGACTAGTGCTCTGAAATCTTAGAACCTCTTGAGAGAGTTTGAAAGCCATCCAATACTGAATAGTGCGAGAAGCAGCAGGTGAGCAGGTTTTATGTGGAATGTGAATTCTACCATTTTTAAGCATTTTGTTTGTTTCTAATGGTTCTGTTTATACAGAAACAGTTGTTTGTTTGGTTTTGTTTTCTTTTTTCAGATGGAACTTTTGACAGACTAAGTTAAAATAAATAATAACAAAAGATAAATGTAGCCTAGAGAGAAGTATAGAGGAGGCACCAGGGCAAAGGGAATAAGGGTATAAGGAGGGTGAGATGGAATTGGGAGTGTGTCTGTAGTCACCAGGGTTTAACTCACCACCCTGTGAGTGTGAGGGTTGTAATGGGACCAATTATTAGGCTTAATGTCTGCAAAAGAATGAGAAGCCTGTTGTTCAAGAAGGGAAATGACCAGGAGGAACTTTCCTACATCCTCATGCAAAGAATTACATGAGGAGTGCATGATGATGGCCTGAGGTAACACTGGGGTTCTCTTCAGGCTAGGTTTCAGCGTGTCATTATTTTTTCCTCTCCTTTAAGAGGATATGTGCCAAGTGTGGTGGCATTCCCTCACTCCCAGCAATCAGTAGACTGGGGCTGGATGATTTTGAAGTGCAAGGTTAGACCGGGCTATATAGATGAACACTTACTATATATATGGTAAGAAGGATGGAAAGAAGGGGAGAGGAGAATGTATTTAAGGGCATTTAAGACATAGATACATGAAAAATGAGGAGAAAGTGCAACATTTGTTGTACATTTTAGTATTGTTCAGTAAGCTAAAGCTACTTTAAAAGAGACATGTTAATTCTACATAATTTTAATTGAAGTAGAATTCTACAGTTTTTAATTTTCTCAAACACTCTTCCTCAAAGCTCCCCCAAGTCCCTTGCCACTCTCAAGTTGACAGCCTTTTTTTCCTCTGACTATTATTGTCTTATACAAATATGTATGCATCTATGTATGTATGTATATGCATAAACAAGACCAGAACAATGGCAATATCAACAGACATGTTAATATGGAAGGGGAGAAATTTCATAGAGTCCTACCCATAGACAAAGAACTACAGGTAACTAATGACCACTGAGAGAAGGAGAATTAGCCTCTTCCAAAGTTGAGTTCCTTATTGGTCATCTAATACAGAGTCGCCAGACTTGAAACTATATACACACAAACAGCAAAAAACAAATCCAGACGTGTGTGTGTGTGTGTGTTTAAAAAGACCTTGATTTTTAATTATGTGTATAGTTGTGTGTCTCTGTACAGGTTTATACATACATATGCAGTGCCCCTGGAGGCCATAAGTGAGTGTTGTATCTCCTGAAGCTAATTTAGGGGTGGTGGTAAGCCACCCAATATGGATGCTAGGAGCCTTGCCCTGCAGGAGTGGTACATGTTTTAACTGCTAGCCATTGAGGCAAGGGATCTTTTTTCCATGAAAGGACAGGTAGTGAAGGTGGTAGGCTTTGGTGACAATGTGGTCTCTACTGAAACACCACCATTTCTGATTACTTGTAAACAAACGGGCAAGCCTCTTTCCCAGTAAAGCTGTATTTACAAAAAGTGCCAGCAGCTCACATCTGTGCCATGGTCACCGTTGGCCAGCCTCTGATTACACCTGTATCTCACTCAATTCTTCCTTCTTCCCTTCCCTTCCATTTAAAAAGATTACTTAAAATGTGTTTATTTGTAAATGACTATAGACTTATAGGAGTTGCAAAGAAGATGTGTCACCTTTTGTTTTCTGCTCCATGCTGTGTTGTATGAGATGCTGGCATCACTGGCAAGCCAAGAAAGAGTCCCTGGCATCAAACAGCACACACACAGTTAAGGTTTTGCCCTGTGCTCTGCAGAGCCAGGGTCTTTGTCAATAGTTTGTTCCTTTTCGTTACTGGGTGGTATTCCATGATATTGCAGTTTGGCTGTTCATCCTCTGTAAGGTTCTGACTGTCGTGATTTCTTCTATTCTGAGTTTTTTCTTGAATAAAAGTGCTTCAATCCCTTGCACACCAGCTCCCTGACTCATTTCTTTGATAGGTATATGTTTCATGTGGAGAACACTGGATTAATCCTGACCTCTCCATTGTTCAACAAAGGAAGCAAGTCTTCCTCAGGAACCTTGAGTTTGACATCTCCAAGATTAAAACCTTTTGCAGCATGTGCAAGGTGGAAGGTGAGCTTTGAAGTTACTTTATTTTGACACCCCAACACACCTGATGACATTGCTTTATACTAAAATTATGTTTATTCAAACAGCTCATGTTTCAGCTCCGGATCTTGCTGTTTCGCTCTTTAGCCTCATTTATTAAAGTGTATTAAATAGGGTTCCATATTTTGTTACCTACAATACTTCAGAAGAGCAAAAAGATTAAAAAAGAAAGCTCAACACAATTCCTTTTCTGTTTTACAGATATATAATTTGTAAGCCCCATGCATTCCCATCAAGGAAAAATGGATTACATGTCCAATCATGTTTTAATGTTGTACCATCTGTTTATGTAATCAGTCTCTTAGGGAGGGCTTTAGAACTCTCCAGTCTGCAGAGCGCCACTTGGCTGAGAGGAAAAACCTTGGGATGGAGATCCTCTTGTGCCAGGCTTCCCAGAGAAGTCGATGCCTGGGTCACTTGTATTTTGTCATTTGACCTGGATTGTACTTTGAGTGAGCCATATGCATCCTACCCGGCTCAGCCTCCTTCCTGCTCTGTCTTGCTCTCGGAACCAGGCAGTGACAGCTGGCTTGCCTCTGGCTAGAGAGCAACCTTATCCTTGTTTGTAAACCACTTTCCAGAAAGTTTCTTGATAGGTCCTAGTTACATCTCCAGAAAGCCAAGTCCATATGTATGCAACCATGAAGGGTTTTGTCACGGAGGCCCGATGTTCCCTAGTTTCCACAGTGAAGCCTATAAAGAGAAATAGGATTCCTTGTACTAGTTTCTGGGATTCTCTGTCTTCTACCTCTTTCCCAGAAGGCCAATACTGAAGTTAGACTCTTATACACTAAGTAGGAGAGAAAGGCTTGTGGGAAATGTATGCATCAGTGCTGTATTTCTTGACTTACATGGGTGTTGTCTGGGAACAGTATGCTGTTTGAATGTCAGAAACTGTCATTGGCATCTGGGAAGACAGCTCAGTCAGTTAACTGCTAACCTCTGGGTTTGATTGCCAGCACTATTGTGAAAAGTCAAGTGTGGTTACAACACCTGTAATCCCAGCACTGGGGACAGAGACAGACTCACTGGTCAGCTAAAACAGCCTAAATCAGTGAGTCCCAGTTCCCCTTGGGGAGCCTTAGCTTAACAAACAAGGTGGTGGTTTCAGAGGAACAGCATACGGTTGACTTCTGCCACCCGCCACTGTGTTCCTGACTTTGGACTTTTTCTCTTCTAGCATCTTTTTCTTCCTTGTGAGCTTCCCCGTTCCTTTATCAAAGTGAGGAAAAACCATTATCCCCACACAAAGCTTTACACACATCTTTCATAGTATTGGATTGCAGGCTTGAGTCTGAATCATAGACAACAATCTAAAGACATATATGTAGATACTATAGCTTATTTGAATAACTGGAATAGAGAATAATTAAATTAACCTTGGGAATACATGTTATTAGTACTTTTGTCTAATATCTTAAGAAGAATGAATTGGCAAGTATCCAGTTAAATAAAGTCCAACTTCTTGTTTAAAGGTACTCAAAGGGTAAAGGTTTTACACTTGTGGGAGTGTATTTTGGATTCCTGATGCTCTTGTTCATTTCGCAATTTGTTCGTTTCTTCTCAGCTCTTGTTTTAGAAGTCCAAAGTGACCTTGTGTCTGGGGGCAAGCTTGCTGTGAATAAACCTGCAGTCATTCTTGAAGAGGAGAAGCAAGTGAAAGGACCAGAGGGGACTCAGATGCAAAATGTTGCTTTCACACCAGGAAATGCTTCCAGAGACACTCTGTAAGTAGTCACTGTGGCCAGAAAACAGACCAGTGTTACATGACCACAGCTCTTCTACCTGAGGCAGTGTGCAGCCCATGCAGGGAACTCAGAGAAGTTTCTGAAACCCCATCACTTGAAGACACAGTATTTACTTACTGTTTTTTTTTTTTTTGGACAGATTATTGGAACTAGAGCTTTAACCATCATCTTCATCTACTTTCAGTGATGTTGCTGCATTGGGATGATTCATTAAAGATATTATCTCAGCATTATACCCCCCCCTCTAATTCATCATGTCTTGTCCCAGTAAACACTGAATCATCCTAAACTATTGAAATAACTTTCTGACGGATCTCCATGTCATCCTTTCAAGTCCTCTAAGATCCATCTTGCTAACATGTCAGCTTTTCGCACAGTGCTTCAGTGAGCACCAAGGCTGACAAGTTGAGTAATACTCTGCTTTCTGCTACCCCCAGCCCTGCCTGTCAACGCCCCCATTTGTACCTCATGGTCACTCCCATTTGGCACTTGTCTTCTTGCTATCATATCAAATTCTAATAGGTGACAAGATGTGACCTGAAGGTAGCATATTCATAAGGTTCAGTGCAGATACTTCTTTTTGCTTCAAGTTCTCTTTCTTGTCACACACATATCTGTAGTAACTTCCACAGTTTTAAACAGTGCTACGCATGGAGATGTCCTTGCGAGACCCCTTCTCCATTATCTTTCTTGTCCCCCGTGGGGTCTCAGTGTGGGAAAGGACTCCCACACCACATGCTCTGCAAAGGTAGAATAAGGGAATGGTTGAGTTCATTCCAGATCAGCGCCCGGTGACTGCCAAAACTCGTTCATCCTTGCTACAACCTTACCTTTTAATTTATTAATTTTGCATACAAGTGCCACAGTGCACGTGTAGAAGTCAGAGGACAAGGGCTTCGTTATGTTCTCCCACTGTGGGCTGTAAGGATGGATCAAACTCAGGTTGCCAGTCCTGGTGATGGGTGCCTGTATCTGCTGAGCTGTTACCACTTGTCACCACCTTGTAGGAAGCCAGTTTTAGGAAGCACTTTTCTCAATCTGACTAGTGATTCATTTAGTCCAGGTACTGAAGCAACCACATGCTGTTTATCACGTAACCATAAAAGTTGGGGAGCCAAACACAAACTTTCCTAATATCCCTTCCGTTCTTCTAAAGAATGCTTCCTCTGGCCTCTAAGTTACCAGGCTGCTCTTGAACGAAATTGAGAGAGGAAAAAGAACCCTTTGAGAGCAAAGCTCTGCTTTGTAAATCAGTCACAACAGGGTCTGGAGTCCAATGTGAGGGAGCTCACAGCACCCAGCACACAGTGTGGGTCTCACTCAAACACTCAGGCAGGCTTTGCGACCCAGGCTCTCCAAGACTCCTGAGTTCAGGGTGTCACTGTTTCACAAGGCATCTCATTTGGCTTTGATGACAGTACTGACTGGCTTTGTGTGTCAATGTGACACAGCTAGAGTCATCCCAGAGGAAGGAGCCTCCGTTGAGGAAATGCCTTGATGAGATCCAGCTAAGGCATTTTCTCAATTAGTGATCACTGAGGGAGGGCCAAGGGCATGGTGGGTGGTGCCATCCCTGGGCTGGTGGTCCTGCGTTCTATAAGAAGATGGGCTAAGCAAGCCAGGGAAAGCAAGTCAGTAAGCAGCTCCCCTCCATGGCCTCTGCATCAGTTCCTGACTTCAGGTTGGTGTCCTGTTTGGGTTTCTGCCCTGACTTCGTTCAGTGGTGGACAGAAATGCTGAAGTGTAACCGTTTCCTCCCCAGCTTTCTTTTGGCCACAGTGCTTTGTCATACCATTAGAAACCCTAAGACAGATGGCTAACTCTTAGAAATCTCTATCCCTTGAGCCCATGGTTCCCTGTGATGAACTCCACCTCTAGCTGACAGTTCTATAGTCTATTTCCCTACACAATGTGAGTATCATGAACCGAGACCTCACCTAGCCTGTTTATTACTGTACCTACCACGAAGAGTCCGATACCTGGCATACACTAGATGTTAGATAAATATTGGTGAAAGGGATGAGTACCTAGTGGAAGATGCTTCTTATGAATAAGCAATTTGGCTCATTATATAAACAAGATTGATTCTTTAAAGGCTTTCTAGAATTGACTTTACTACATTTGACTTACCAGGACTAGTACTGCTGATAAATTCCAAGTAGACTATAGGACACCTGTTTGTGACGTGAGGGTAGAAGTATAACATGAAAAATAAAAGACCCAGAGACTGACATTGGGGTTCGAGCTTCAAGCTGAATATCAGAAAAGCAAAGCAGTCAGCCACTAGCTTCTTCCCTCTACCTCAGACTGAATGAACTTTTCCTGTCTCCATGAGCTCTCACCAACCTCAGACTGTAACCTTTCTTCAGCATGGCTGGAGAACGAATGCCTCTCTGAGACCTTTCTTCTGTCTGATATACTTCCCTAATGTTGGGGATTAAAGGTGTGAGCTATAATTCTCTTTTAGACTGATTCACTCTTGTGTAGATCTGGGTGGCCTTGGACTCACAGAGATCTATCTTATCTCTTGGCCCAGAGTCCTAGGATTAAAGGTGTGTACCACCACCTCCTAGCCTCTGGCTGCTGGGATTAAAGGTGTGTGCCTGGCTTCTATAGCTTGTGGCCGACTTGGCTCTTCTGACTCCTCAGTCAAGCTTTAATAAATCATAAATAGCATATCACTCTATGGAAGAACTGTGTTTTCTACTTCAAACACAAGATGGCGCTGGTGTATTTTCAACGACTGGGGATATGCTGACTGGGGAAGCTGCTTGTACTCCGAAGGAGGCCCTGGTTGCACTCCAATCTCATACCCATAAACAGCACTGGCCCTGGCACCCGAAAAGTGCAAAGCCGACGTGTTAACGCCACAGTTGCCCTGGAAGGCTTCAGTCATTTGATAATACTTACAGTTACATCAAGTTATCACCACTCCCTTGTTGGGCACAGCCTGCTGCAGAGAAGGATCTTTATTTCTCCAGTTGTATATCAGGGCTGAAATACACTTGCTGTTTTACCTGTGTGTTTATCGCTCCCTCGGCAGAGCAGTCTTTGTAATACTGTGTCCCAATTTCACTCAAAGAATATGTGTTCTAACAGCAACCTGGAGTTTAGAATCAGTAGATCTGAACAGTGACTGTTACTCCCTGCCACCTTTGTCTTGATTATTCAAACCATCACTATTATATTCTAAAGTTTCTATGTCCTTTTCTCAATTAAAAAACATGCATGCAGCTGTGATTTGAGTCACTTTAGATTCCTCTACTGAGAGGAAATTTCTTTAATATCATCATCAGAATAAATGTGTGCAATCCCCGCATATGAGCCATACTGCTTTGGACAACATTAGGACCCACTTAAGCACCAGTGTAGGAGTGCCATTCCATGTTTATTATGAATTGTTCAAACTACTGCTTAAGGGACTTAATATAACTTTGAAATATAATACACGGACCCATTTTCTAAACTAAACTAAAAAAATGCTGTTTATTATGTGGTTGAGGGATTTTATTTACCGGCCTCTTCTAACAAATCTAAACTGTATACCAGTGAGGTGTGGATTTCCCAATCTAGCCTCCTTATGAAAATATGATTTACATAAGTGCCAATATCCTGAAGGCTGTGGTCAGGTCACAGCTGGAGACTCTTTGAACATACATCAGCATTCTTAGATTTCACCCCTGAATCTTGACAGAGATTCACATGCGAGAGCCCATCTCCGCATGGAAGCCTGTTGCCGGATGGTCAAGTATGCTTGGCAGGACCCATCATACAACCTAACAGATGGTGACAACCTTCCAAAGAAAATGGAGAAAGAGCCCTTTGAAAATGTGCAGCCCCAGAAGAAACACAGGTAAAATTGACAAGGATTCCTTTTGGAAAGTTCTATCTGGCCTTAGACCCCCTCACGCTGCTACAAGCACATTCTTTAACATTTTTACTTTGATTGACTACTGCGTGTACCAGCATGCACATTTTTGTCTTGTGATGCTGATCAAAGCATTTGTGAGTGCTGGGAAGGATGGATTCTTTGCCCCTCAGCTCCTCCTGTGCAGGCTGACAATGTTGTCTTGGTGTCTGATGGACTCTTTTTTACTAAACAGTAGTTCCATCCACTTTTGACTCCTGAGAACTTAGAATTCAAACCTTTGTGTTCATTGGATGAGTGTGTGGATAAATTGCTAAACACTCAGTAGGATGTCCTTAATGCCTTTAAGAAGCTAGAAAAATACAATTTTTCCTTTTAAACATTTCATTCTGGTTTTCATTCAATGAAATGTTAGGAATACAACATACACTGTGCTTTTCCATAATCTTTAGATATTTGCCTCACCGTGATAATGGTTACTAGCACATAGAGTTAAACAATTTCCTCAGATTTAGCCATTACCATTAGAGCATGCACACAGTAGAGGCTTAATATAGCTCTTTAGATTAATATGTCATTGTATTTTGATGTGTATGATGTGTCACATGTCTGCTTAATGTTTTAAGGACCTTATATAAGAGATTTCTTTTTTTAATTTTTTATTTTAATTTTAAATAGCTTGTTTTACATGTCAATCCCAGTTCTGTCTCCCTCCCCTCCTCCTGCACCCCCCCCAACCCCCAGCCTCCCACCCTATTGTCAATTCCTTCCACATAGGGGATATCTAGAGTCTGTCATTTCACTCAGGGTAGGGTCCAGGCACTACCCTAAGAGTCTAGGCTGAGAGAGCATCCCTCTTTGTGCTACGGACACATGATGTCTGTTTGTATTCCAGGGATAAACACTGATCCACTGCTCAGGGCCCCATAGGTTGCCCAGGCTTTCTCACTGACACTCACATTCGGGGGTCCAGATCAGTCCCATGCTGGCCTCCCCACTGTCGGTCTGGGGTCCAAGAGCTCTCCCCTGTTCAGATCGGCTGTCTCTGCTGGTTTTGCTAGCCCATTTTTTGCCAATTTGCTCATCGCTCCTCTCTCTATGTCACTGGGTTCCGTTTAGTGTTTAACTGTGGGTTTTTGCCTCTGTTTCCATCAGTCACTGGATGAAGGCTCCCGGATGGTTATAGACATCAAGTTCATTATCAGGAATGGACATTCGAGGTGTTCTCTCCACTATTGCTTAGCTTGCCAATTGGTGTCATCCCTTTAGATCACTAGAGGTCACACTGGTGCCTGGTCTGCCTTCTAACCTATGATTTCCTCTTCCCCCTATTCTACCTCCCCCCACTCAACCTTCCTGTTCCCCCATGACCTACTCTCTCTTACTCTTCTCCCCCTCTCTTCTTCCCAGCTTTCACTCCCCCCCCCTTTGCCATGTTCGCCATCTGTTCAGAGGATCTTGCCTCATTTCTCTTCTCTTGGGTACCATGCATATCTTTTATGTTCTTTCCTGTTTCCCAGACTCTCTATCAGTGGAAGTGCAGACTGGCACTATCCTGATCCACGTCTAAAATCCATATATGAGTGAGTACATACCATGTTTGTCTTTTTGCGACTGGGTTACCTCACTCACGATGGTTTCTTCCAATGCTATCCACTTACCTGCGAATTTCAAGATTCCATTGTTTTTTTCTGCTGAGTAATATTCCATTGTGTAAATGTACCACATTTTCTCTATCCACTCTTCAGTTGAGGGGCATCTAGGTTGCTTCCAGGTTCTGGCTATTACAAATAATGCTGCTATGAACATGGTGGAGCAGATGTCCTTGTTGTATGAATTTGCCTCATTTGGATATATGCCTAAGAGTGGAATTGCTGGGTCTTGTGGTAGATTGATTCCCATTTTCCTGAGGAATCTCCATACTGCTTTCCAAAGTGGCTGTACGAGTTGGCACTCTCACCAGCAGTGGAGTAGAGTTCCCCTCTCTCCACATCCTCTCCAGCAATAAATTGTCTTCAGTGTTTTTGATTTTAGCCATTTTGACAGGCGTAAGATGGTATCTCAGAGTTGTTTTGATTTGCATTTCCCTGATAGCTAAGGATGTTGAGCACTTTCTTACTTAATAGAGTAAGAAAGGCCATTTTAGCCTCCTCTATTGAGAATTCTCTATTTAGTTCTGTACCCCACCTTTTAATTGGTTGGATCCTTTGGTGTTTTGGAGACTTGCTTCTTGAGTTCTTTGTAAATTTTGGAGATTAGCCCTCTGTCAGATGTGGGGTTAGTGAATATCTTTTCCCATTCTGTGGACTGCCTTTTTGTTTTGTTGACTATGTCCTTTGCCTTACAGAAGCTTTTTAGTTTCAGGAGGTCCCATTAGTTAATTGTCGATCTCAGTGTTTGTGCCACTGGTGTTATGTTCAAGAAGTGGTCTCCTGTACCAACTCGTTGAAGAGTATCTCCCACTTTCTCTTCTAAAAGTTTCAGTGGGGCTGTATTTATGTTGAGATCTTTGATCCATTTGGATTTAAGTTTTGTACAAGGCGATAAACATGGATCTATCTGCAGTCTTCTGCATACCAGTACCCAGTTATGCCAGCACCATTTGTTGAAGATGCTTTCTTTTTTCCATTGTATAGTTTTAGCTTCTTTGTCAAAAATCAAGTGTTCATAGGTGTGTGGGTTAAAATCAGGGTTTTCAATTCGGTTCTATTGGTCTACCTGCCTATTTTTGTGCCAATACCAAGCTGTTTTCAGGACTATAGCTCTATAATAAAGCTTGAAGTCAGGTATGGTGATGCCTCTTGAAGTTCCTTTATTGTATAGGGTTGTTTTGGGTTTCCTTGGTCTTTTGTTTTTCCATATAAAGCTGATTATTGTTCTTTCAAGGTCTGTGAAGAATCATGCCAGTATTTTGATAGGAATTGCATTTAATCTGTAGACTGCTTTTGGCAAGATTGCCATTTTTATTATGTTGATCCTACCAATCCAAGAGCATGGGAGATCTTTCCATTTTCTGGTATCCTCTTTAATTTCTTTCTTTAAAGATTCAAAGTTATTGATATATAGGTCTTTCACTTCCTTGGTTAACATTATCCCCAGATATTTGATGCTGTTTATGGCTATTGTAAAGGGTGATGTTTCTCTGATTTCTTTCTCAGTCACTTCATCATCTGTATATAATAGGGCCACTGATTTTTTTGTTTACCTTGTATCCTCCCATATTGCTGAAGGTGTTTATCAGCTCTAGGAGTTCCCTTGCAGAGTTTTTCGGGTCACTTATGTAAACTATCATATCATCTGCAAATAGTGAAAGTTTGACTTCTTCTTTTCCTATTTGTATCCCCTTTATCTCCTTTTGTTGTCTTATTGCTGTAGCTAGAACTTCAAGTACAATATTGAAGAGATATGGAGAGAGTGGACAGACTTGTCTTGTTCCTGATTTTAGAGGAACTGCTTTGAGTTTCTCTCCATTTAGTTTGATGTTAGCTGTTGGTTTACTGTATATTGCTTTTATTATATTCAGGTATGTTTCTGTTATCCCTGATCTCTCTAGGACCTTTGTCATGAAGGGGTGCTGGATTTTGTCAAAGGCTTTTTCAGCATCTAGTGAGATTATCATGTGGATTTTCTTTCACAGTTTGTTTATATGGTGGTTTATACATTGATAGATTTTCTAATGTTGAATGATCCCTGCATTCCTGGGATGAAGCCTACTTGATCATGGTGGATGATTTTTCTGATGTATTCTTGAATCCGGTTTGCGTTTATTGAGTATTTTTGCATCGATGTTCATGAGGGAAATTGGTCTATAGTTCTCTTTCTTAGTTATGTTTTGTGTGGCTTGGATATCAAGGTAATTGTAGACTCATAAAAAGAGTTTGGCAGTGAGCCTCCTGCTTCTATTGTGTGGAATACTTTGAGGAGTATTGGAATTAGCTCGTCTTTGAATTTCTGGTAGAATTCTGCATTAAAGCCATCTGGGCCTGGGCTTTTTTTGTTTGGGAAACGTTTGATGACTGCTACTATTTCATTAGGGGTTATACGTCTGTTTAGATTGTTTATCTGCTCTTGATTTAGTTTTGGCAAGTGATATCTATCCAGGAAATTGTCCATTTCCTTTAAATTTTCGAATTTTGTGGAGTACAGATTTTTCAAAGTATGCCCTGATGATTCTCTGGATTTCCTCAGAGTCCGTTGTTATGTCCCCTTTTTCATTTCTGATTTTGTTAATTAGCATGCTCTCTCTCTCTCTGTCTTTTGGTTAGTTTGGACAGAGGTTTGTCTATTTTGTTGATTTTCTCAAAGAACCAACTCTTTGTTTCATTGATTCTTCTCAATGTTTTCCTGGTTTCTACTTGATTGATTTCAGCCCTCAATTTGATTATATCCTGGCGTCTGCACCTCCTGGGTGAGTTTGCTTCTTTTTGTTCTAGAACATTCAGCTGTGCTATTAATTCTCTAGTATGACTGTTCTCCAGTTTTTTCATGTGGGCACTTAGTGCTATGAACTTTCCTCTCAGCACTGCTTTCAACGTGTCCCATAAGTTTGCGTATGTTGTGTCTTCATTCTCATTGAATCCAGGAAGTCTTTAATTTCTTTTTTATTTCTTCCTTTACCCAGGGATGGTGCAATTGTGCATTGTCCAGTTTCCATGAGTTTGTAGGGTTTCTGCGATTTGTGTTATTGTTGAATTCTAATTTTAATGCATGGTGGTCTAATAAGATTCAGGGGGTTATTCCAATTTTTTTGTATCTGTGAAGATTTGACATGTTTCCTATTATGTGGTCAATTTTAGAGAAGGTTCCATGTGGATATCCAAAGTGGATATCCCTTTGTGTTTGGGTGGAATGTTCTATAGATGTCTGTTAAACCCAGTTGGGTCATAACTTCTATTAGGTCTTTTGTTTCTTTGTTAAGTTTCTGTCTGGAGTTCCTGTCTAGTGGTGAGAGCAGAGAGTTGAAGTCTCCTACTATTAGTGTGTGAGATTTTATGTGCATTTTGAGCTTTAGTAATGTTTCTTTCACGAATGTAGGTGCCTTTGTATTTGGGGCATAGATGTTTAAAATTGAGACTTCATCTTGATGGACTTTTCCTTTGATGAATATGAAGTGTCCTTCTTCATCTCTTTTGATCGATTTTAATTTGAAGTCTAGTTTGTTAGATATTAGGATTGCTACACCCGCTTGTTTCTTGGGACCGTTTGATCAGAAGATCTTTTCCCTACCCTTTTTTCTGAGATAACGTCTGCCTTTGATGTTGAGATGTGTTTCTTGTATGCAGCAGAAGGAAGGGTTCTGTCTTCGTTTCCATTCTGCTAGTCTGTGTCTTTTTATAGGCAAGTTGAGGCCGTTGACATTGAGGGATATTAATGACCATTGATTGATGTTTCTTGTTTGTGCTTGATTTATTGTTAGTGAAGTTATTTTGTGTAACTTCTCCTCCCTTTTTCTTTTGGTGTTTTGTAAAGTGTGATTATATATTGCCTGTGTCTTTGTGAGTGTAGTTATCTTCCTTGGATCTAGGTTTTCCTTCTAGCACTTTCTGTAGAGCTGGATTCATGGATATGTATTGTTTAAATCTGGCTTTGTCATGGAATATTTTTTTCTCCATCTATGGTAATTGAAAGCTTTGCTGGATATAGTAGTCTGGGCTGGCATCCTTGTTCCCTTAGTGTTTGTAGGACATCTATCCAGGATCTTCTGGCTTTCATCGTTTCCATTGAGAAGTCAAGTGTAATTTGGATAGGTCTGCCTTTATATGTTACTTGGCCTTTTTCTTTAGCTCCTCTTAATATTTTCTCTTTATTCTGTAGGTTTGATGTTTTGATTATTATATGGCGAGGTGACTTCTTTTTCTGGTCCAGCCTGTTTGGTGTTCTGAAAGATTCTTGTATTTTCATAGGCATATCCTTCTTTAGGTTAGGGAAGTTTTCTTCTATGATTTTGTTGAATATGTTTTCTGTACCTTTGAGTTGTATTTCTTGGTCTTCTTCTATACCTATTATTCTCAGGTTTGGCTTCTTCATGGTGTCCCATATTTCCTGGATATTTTTTGTTAGGGATTTGTTGGTTTTGAGATTTTCTTTGGTTGACGACTCTATATCTTCTAATGAGTCTTCAACACCTGAGATTCTCTCTTCTGTCTCTTGTATTCTATTGGTGATACTTGCATCTCTAGTTCCTGATCGTTTACCCAGCTTTTCTATTTCCCACATCCCCCTTGTTCTGTGTTTTCTTTATCATTCCTATTTCAGCTTTCAATCCTTCAACCGTTTGAGTTGTTTCCTTCATTTGTTTGGTTATTTTTTCTTGGTGCTCTTTAGATTCTTTGAGAGATTTGTTTATTTCTTGAATTTTCCCCCCATTTCATGGATTTTTTTGTTTGTTTTTTCTTCTATTTCTTTAAGGGATTTCCTCGTTTCTTCTTTGAGGGTCTCTATCATCTTCATAAAATAATTTTTAAGATCTGTCTCCTCTGCTTCGTCTATGTAGTGCTTTTCAGGTCTTGCTCGTGTTGGTTCCCTAGATTCTGGTGGAGTCATGTTGGTCTTTTGATTGCTGAGTGAGCTCTTATTCTGTCTTCTTCCCATCTCTTCTTCCAGTGGGTGCTGGTGGGGTCTTTCCATCTCCACTGGTCTCCTTCCTTCCTGAAGCTGAAGCTGGGGATGCTGACACTGAAGCTTAAGCTGAAGCTGGGGTTGCTGGAGTTTGGGGCCTGGAAGGGCTGATGTCTTTCCTGTGTGGGCGGGTCTTCTGGATGCCAGGAGCAGCCCCAGAAGATCGAGGGGATTTGTGTTGGGCAGGGGATGGGGAGTGCCCCCCCCGAGACCCAAGCTCTCCCAAAGCTGGGCTCACTGGAGTTTGGGGCCTGGAATTGCTGATGTCTTTCCAGTGTGGGCGGGTCTCACCTGAAGATATTTCTTTAAATTAGCTTCCTAGCATTTCCTTATTCTGTTATGATAGTTCTTCACTGAGATTTTGCAGCCCAGAACCCAGCAGCAAGAAGAAAACAGATTTCAGTTTTCACAAAACACCATTATTTCTCTGGTTTCATTCTAAATGCCCCTTCTCTGGCTCCTTGTTTTCTTTGAATTTCATCTTTTCCATCTGAACTTCCTTTCTCTTAGCTGGCAAATTTTTCAAAAGTTCTCTTAGATAAACATTTATTTCTTTCATAAAATAGGCTCAGGATTCTACCTTAATTTTTTAAATTAACGTGTGTGTGTGTGTGTGTGTGTGTGTGTGCGCGCGCACACACACACACACACAAACACCATATGTGAATGCAAAATGGTAGAAGCCAAAAGAGAACATGGAATCCCTGGAACTGGAGTTAGAGGTGTCTGTGAGCTAGCTGTTGGCTGCGGGTGCTGCAAACCAAATTCAGATCCTCTAAAGGAGCAGCCAGTACATCTAACCACTGACGCGTCTCTCCAACCACAGGATTCTACTTTCTATGCCAGCTTAGAAGCACACTGCTGATGGTCTCAGTGTTCTTATAGTATATTTACCACTGCAAGTCAACAGCCCAGGGGCAGCTCTGACTAACAGAACTTAGTATCTCCAGTGCATACATTTCCAAGGCCATTTTCCTGTCATTAACAAGAGTTTTCTGTCCCTTAGCCATTTCCCAAAGCATAGTAAATTGCAGAAGCTACGTCATCAGGAGTTTGAATATAGAAACAGGCAAATCATTAGCCTAGCAGCTCCTCAGCTGGTCCTGGGTGTACAAGGCTCAAAACCCCGGTCAGGCACAGAGGTCATTTTGATGGAGAAAAAATCCGATGATGGCCACCAACACTGGACACACAAGGAAGAAAGCAGGTAAACCCATAGAATTGTGAGGTTTATGCATCAAAATGGATGGAACAAAGTTGAGATGAATAGATAAAACAAAATGGAATGTTGACAGTGTTTAGGCTCATGTTTCTTTACACATTTCTCTTTGTTTTTGTACGTGGTTGAACATTAACTTAATGTGTTTCTCTGTGTGTAGTTATATGCACATAGGCGCAGATGCCTGTGGAGGTCAGAGAACGTACCAGAGCTCCTGGGACTGGAGTTACAGATGGTTGTGGGTCAGTGTGGGTGCTGGGAACTGAACTTAAGTCCTCTGTAAGAGAAGTATGTGCTCTTGAGTGCTGAACCATCAATCCAGCCCCAGTAAAACACATTTGAAAGCCACATCAATGCATAATTATAACTAACGATTGTCATTATAATGTTTCCTTTTATATGTATTTACTCATTCTACTCCCACAGGATTCACATTATTCCAATATACAGATGGGTAAATTGAAACATTGAGTTGTTAATGCCATACAGTACTAAGAGATAGACCCAGGATTCCATACCATCTAGTGTAACTATAAAATTCATTTCATTATCTTTACTGCTTCTCAATAATAGCAACATGGGAAAAATATTAGCAATATGGACAATAAATATATATGAAGCTGGGTATAATCTAGAGACAAAAACCACACCATGATTTAAATAGGGGAAATAAATTTGAGGAATTATTAAACTATGATAAAACACGAACTATTATTGATATATTCTATATAATTATTATGGATATTTGATAACATCCATATCAGACTATCATAGCTTATTTGTTCTTATAAGTTGGTGAGACCTAAAGAATCTTGGGTTTCTACATAGCAGAAACGTATAGAAATCCCATTTATATTAACCACAGTCTGTTACCTAATGGAACTAATTCTGTCTTCCTAAGGACCTTTCACCTAATGAGTAATCCCGACCTTGTGCTGGCAGTGTCTATGACCAAGGCTCAAATCGAAGCCCGTGGCTATCCAGTTATCATTCAGGTAAGATATGCACAGGCCAACAAGAAGCCATCCCCTTTCATGAAGCTGCAGGGAGGCTCCATGTCTCTTTGTTACAGAGTAAAACAATAGCTGTCATAGAATGCTATTTTGAATGACACTGTTAAAATTCTTTTTGTAATACTCTGTCTAGACTTCAAATTGAGCATATTGAGATACCTCAATTTGGTTCATTCTGACCAATGGTGATTGAAGGCTTGCTGATAGTCCAGAGTAGGGGCAGTTGCTATAGTCATACACTGGCAAGTGTGAGAAACAGTCTCAACAGAATTCATGGAGCTTGTAACCTCAGGGGGTGATGCTCTTCGGTGCACCTAAATTCATTGAGGAGGAGCAAAGGCAACGCCCCCTGGTGTGAATACTGGAGAAGAGATCTGGTCAGTGTTTTTGGAGGCCATGAGCCCACAGTGGTAAGTCTGCTAAGAAACCCACTTGCAGCACCTGTAATACATTTGAATTTGGAACAAAGACCAAGGAAACTCTTTTTTTGTCACCCTTCCTTATAAGCAAACACTTATAAACAGGAATGTGATTTTCCCTGATAGGCCAAGACCCAGCCCGGGAACATCCCACCTCTCCATTCATTCTCTGTAAGCTCTACCCTAGTTCCCATCGATCAGAGTAATTATCTCCAAATAACATTTGTTTTATTCCATGTTTTTAGTGAAGAAACTTGTTTTGCCTTTTGGAATCCCAAATCAGGACATAGCAATCTGGACAGATTCTGAAGCTTGTTTAATTAACTCCACTGTCCTCCTGATAAATAAGAACTAGAAATTTATCCCGAGGATATAGCACACAGGACACTTCATGTTTCCTATCAGGTGCCTCTTCAACACAGGCCTCAGTTAGGTTAAACTTCACATGGCTGCCTGTCCATTTAGTCCCTTAATCATTTTCGTAACATTTGTAGATAGCAATGTCACCCCAGTGCATCTTATTGTAGAAGGAATGAACTTAATCATAAGGTAATTTGGATTAACTTTCAAGATTATCTTTTTATTACTAGTGTTTCGATTTTTATATATTAAATGATAAGTGTGTGAGAAAGCATTCATGTTTCTGTAAGTGAAAACAAGCTGCTTCAGGTAATACTTCTAGATCCTTTCTTATTGCTTAAGAATTTAGCCTTTGGTTTTCCTGATCTTGGAGGGAGCTCTGTTGTCTGACCCATTAAATTAGTGCTAAGAACTTCTTTGTTGTTTATCTCTTACTAGGTATAGCAGTTATTATAAAGTTCTTTGAGGCGTCATGATATGCTTTCCCAGAACTAAGCTGCCGGCTTATGTCTTTTTACTTACACTTGAGATAACTCAATGATGTTATAATTATATAACAAAATCACATTCTGTAACAATGTAAAAAACAGAATTAAGATACATATCCTGTTTCTGTTGCATATTTAGCTGGATTGTTTTTAAAACCCACTTTGAATATCAGTCAAATACATATTAAAATGTCAACAAATTGATGTTTTTTCACTTAGTAAGTTGCTGTTTAGGGAGATAGTGTGCATGCATGTTGGTCAAGAACATAAAAACAAGTGAATTCACATACTGTTGGGAAAGGAGAAAGTCAAACAATCTTTCTAAAAAAATGCTTTCTTAGTCAGTATCACAATCTTTTAAATAACCTTAATCAATAATCCTTCTAGAAGTTTTTCCAAAAATATTTTTATGAGTACACACACACACACACACACACACACATACACACACACACACACACACACACATATATCCTGCTGTCTTATTTATTAGAGGGAATGTTAAAGAAAAAGCTCTGCAGGTTCAAAATTTTCCCTAATTTCCTAAGAAGAATTTCCTAAGCATAATTGCTCTAAGAATAAATGATTAATATTCTTTTAAAATGTCAAAAAACACAAAATAATGTTGAGTCAAATATAATGTAATTACAAAAGTTTAATTTTATTGTTTCTGTGAATCAAATACGTTTAAATTATGAAATTATGTATGTAATTCCTAAATATCAACAGTAATTATCAATTTACAGTAATTTATGAATAATTGTATTTCTAAATTTATACAATAAAAAATTCCTGCTGTGCTATCTTTTAAACTCACCTGTCTAATTGAGTCCATATTTTGCCACTCTTTTATTTTTAGAAATATAAGCCATGTAGCAATGGGGCTGCCAATCAAAAGTGGCATTACATGGAAAATACAAGAACATTTATAGCCTTTCACAGCACTGCACTGGATAAGGAAGTCACGGCAGCGAATTCCTCTGGCCTTTGTACATCATCTGTCACTAAAGAAAACATTGATCAACCTGTAAGTAGTTCCCTCTCCCCAAAGATGAAAGAAAAAATAGGTCATTTAATAAAGCAAGGTGGTTTTCACCCATGGGAAAGCTTAAATTCATACAGGCTAAACACTAATTTGTTTGTTTCAGACAAGGTCTTGCTACGCCAAGCTGGCTTCTGACTTGCAACCCTCCTCTCTTAGCTCCCAAGGGTGGGATTACAGGTGTGTACAACCATGTCTAGCATGAAGACTAATTCTTGATGAAATCACTTACACTCTGGGATTCTTTTTGTTGGTGTTATTATAAATTTCATTTAAATTAGAAACAATCTTATTCTACATATCAATCCTAGTTCCCTCTCCCTTCCATCCCCCCATACTCCCCACTGACCTCCCCATCCTCTCCTCAGGGAGGGTGAGGCCTTCCATGAGGGGTCATCAAAATCTTTCAAGTCATTTGGGGCAGGGGCCCTCCCCTGTGTGTCTAGGCTAAGAGAGTATCCCTCCATGGGAAATGGGCTCCTGAAGCCCTTTTGTGAACTAGGGATACATCCTGGTTCCACTGCCATAGGCCTCATAGACAGCCCGGGGCTCCTAGCTGACACCCACATTTAGGGGACCTGGTTTGGTCCTATGTTGGTTCCTCAGCTGTCAGACTGGGGTCCATGAGTTCCCACTTGTTCAGTTCATCTGGTTCTGTGGTTTTTCCCAGTGTGGTCTTGACCCCTTTGTTCATCACTCCTCCCTCTCTGAAACTGGATTCCAGGAGTTTGGCTCAGTGCTTAGCTGTGGATCTCTGCTTCTGCTTCCATCAGCTCAGACTGGATGAAGGCTTTAGGATGGCATTTAATGTAGTCATCATTAGGGCAAGGGCATTTAAGGCAGCCTCTCCACTTTTGCTTAGATTCCTAGGTGCGGTCATCCTTTTGGATCTCTGTACAATTCCCTAGTGCCAGGTTTCTCTTTAAACCTATAATGGCTCCCTCTATTGATTTGTCTCTTTTCTTGCTCTCATCTGTTCCTCTCTCCACTCAATCTTCCTGACCCCTCATGTTCACCTCCCCCCTCCTCTTCTCCCCTCCTCTTTCTGCTACCTCCCTTCCCCCACCCCCATGCTCCTAATTTGTTTAGGGGATCTTGTCCCTTTTCCCTTCACTGGGGGACTGTGTATGTCTCTCTTATGGTCCTCCTTGTTTCCTAGCTTCTCTGGAGGTGTGGATTGTAGGCTGGTAATCCTTTGCTCTATTTCTAATATCCATATATGAGTGAGGGCATAATATTTTTGTCTTTTTGTGATTGGGTTACCTCACTTCAACAAAGGGTGCTGGCATAACTGGATGCAGACATGTAGAAGATTGTATATATCCATATCTATCCATGCACACAACTTAAGTCCAAATGGATCAAAGTCCTCAACATAAATCTAGCCACAGTAAACGTCTTAGAAGAGAAAGTGGGAGGTACCCTTGAATGAATTACTACAGGAGACGCGCTTCTTGAGCATAACACCAGTAGCACAGACACTGAGATCAACAATTAATAAATAGGACCTCCTGAAACTGAGAAGATTCTATAAGGCAAAAGACACAGTCAACAAGACAAAATTGTAGCCCACAGAATGGGAAAAGGTCTTCACTAACCCCATAAACTGACAGAGGGCCGATTATCAAAAAATACAAAGAATCCAAGAAGCTAGTCTCCAAAACACCAAATAATTCAATTTAAAAGTGTGGTACAGAACTAAACAGAGAATTCTCAATAGAGGAATCTAAAATGGCAAAAAGACACTTAAGAAATTGCTCAACATCCTTAGCCATCAGGGAAATGCAAATCAAAACAACTCTGAAATAGCATCTTATACTTGTCAGAATGGTTAAAATCAAAAACGCCAATGACAGTTTATGCTGGAGAGGATGTGCTGGTGGGAGTGCAAACTTGTACAGCCACTTTGGAAATCAGTATGGTGGTTTTTCCCGAAAATGGGACCCAGTCTACCTCAAGATCCAGCAACTCCATTCTTAGGCATATATCCAAAGATGCCCATTCATACAACAAGGATGTTTGTTCCACTACATTCATAGCAGCATTGTTTGTAATAGCCAGAAACTGGAAGCAACCTAGATGCCCCTTAGCTGAAGAGTGGATAGAGAAAATGTGGTACATTTACACAATGGAGTAGTACTCAATGGAAAAAAATAGAATCTTGAAATCTGCAGGCAAATGGATGGAACTAGAAGAAACTCTGAGATTCTTAATAAGAAAGAATGAAAGAAAGTTGTGAAAAGTAAAATAAATTATATACTCTCTCTAAAGCTACTTGTTTTATTGTAGAAATTTTCATACATACTCTAATGCAGACACTGGAACAATGAATCTTGATTTATCCATCACATACAATCAGCAGTCATTAAGACGATCACTTTGACTAATTCCAGATGTGACATTATTTACCTCTAAATTAAGCATGTAATTTTATAATTTTAAACATTTTGACATAAATCATCATTCCACTTTCATGACTAATAAAATTAACAGTGACATTTAGGCAATATAATAAACTATTTTTAATCAAATTTTCTAGGTTGTCCTAAAAAGTCATTTTTATTGTTTGTCAGTTTGAGTCAAGACTCATAAAAGACCCTTGGGTGGAATCATGTTCATACCCTGGTCCATAGTCACCATTTTGCTTCCAATCAGTCATTTTTATCTGATTATACTGTTTTCTTGACATCAATTAGCTAAAGATTTAGCAAAGGCAGCTCTGCTGGTCTTAAAAGGGCCTCTAAGGTAGCTATAATCATCATGTACTTTTTTAGTAGTATGAGGACTGGATAGTCCTAATGGTGCCTACAACCTGGGCGTAAGAACTTCTACTTACAATCTCACAAAAGTTTAAAAAGGGATTTTAAAACAAGAGAACAGAGGAAAGCATGGCTTCTTGGTAGCTGCATTTTCTCGGGTGAGCTGTTTCCCAGGTGTTAAGAGACACACAGTGGCTCCTTTAAGAATGGCTTCCTGATTTGCATAAGTGGCCAAAAAAAAAAAGGCTTTTTTTACCAAATCACTGGTATTAACAAACAGATAAGACTCATGTAGTTAGAAAAAGATAAAGATTTACAGTAAAGAAAAAAATACTTAAGCTTGGGAAAGAAAAGAAAAAATAAATAAACTAACTGGGCGTGGTAGCACATGCCTTTAACCCCAGTACTCAGGAGGCAATCAAATTTCTGTGATTTCAAGGATAGCCTGGTGCACAGAGTGAATTCCAGAACATAAAAAAGTTCACAGAGAAACCGTGTCTCAGAAAATTAAAAAAAGAATACAGAGTAATAAAAAAGCCACATAAAGATGGAAATACACAGAGAGTCTGCATACTATGTGCTATAACATTGTCTTTAAATTGTTTGATGGCTGAGGAAAGAGCTACAGCTGCTAAATTACATTTAATTATAAATTCTGCTAACAACACCAACTTCATCAGAAGGGAAAATGGACATTGAAGAAACTCCTTATGGAATTTGCTTCCAATATTTCAAGATTAACCATTTGGGCAAGAAACTGTTCTTGTCTGGACTGTTTGACTTTATGCTATATCAAGTGGATGTGCAGGACCCACAGGAAAGTGACTGCTGAAACAAGATAGATGTTGCTACATGGTTCTTGCTTCATGGAAGAGTCTGCCAGACACAGAGAAAAGTGACTGACAAACTGCCAATACCCACAGACAGTTTAAAGTTTCCTACTTTGCTGAGGAGCCCTCCAGACACACTATGGCCTATAGACCAAAGATGGAACATTACAGAAGAACTTTGGGTGACTAACCAGGCAGCAAGTTGTCTTTGTCAATTCTAGAGTCTATATATTATTCTTTTGTGGTCTTTGATGGAGTTGAAGACACATAGTCATGGTTATAGTTTTCCTTAGTTATGACAAAAGATAAATTACATGTAAGACTTTAGACTCACAAAGATGGGATAGATAAAATATTTTCTTTAAATCTTAGATGTTATCGAACTAAATATTGTAATTATAGTTCTTGCTTAATAGCTATTTTGTTATATATTATTTGACTATGTTAAAGTTAAAACCTTTCATTTTATTTAGACAGAAAAAGAAGAGATGATGGGGGAAGTCTTCTGTACATATGTTTCTCTTATTGGTTGATGAATAAAACAGTGTTGGTCAGTAGGGAAGCAAGATAGGCAGAACTAGGAGACAAGGAGGATTATGGGAAGTGTAGTAAGAGAAGTTGCCGTGTGATAGGAGGGAGGATGTATGAGTCTGGCATTCTCGGTAACATAAGACCTGGTAGTTATGGGTTAATACTTAAGACAGAGCTATACAATAAGAAGTCCTAGATATTGGCCAACAGCATTATAACTAATAGAGTCTCTGTGTTTTATTTGGGGCTGATGTGGCACTAGGACCAGGCTGGCAGGAAGAGTTATTGTAACATAGAACATGATGTAATCTCTCACATGCATAGTGATTGGCAGGCATTGAGTCTCCAACCTCTCCACGTCTCAAGAAGCTTTGTTCAATGAGTTCAGTATGACCTCGGGGCTCCAACTGCAGCTAGAGAGTCCAGGCACTACTGTGCAAGCTCCTCCCATGTACCTGCTTGCCTCTTACTTCTGTTGTCATTGGGCCAATGTCAAGGACATAGCTTGCTCACAATCACAGAGAGGAGATAAGGAGAATGAGGTACCTCCTGAACAGAGAGGCAGTAATGTCACTGGTCCAAAGAGCACACAAACAAGGTTGGAATGGTTTTATTATAGCCACCATTAGAAATAATTTGCTATTCTAACAGTCACAATGGTTAGTTTTCAAGTCAATGCCTGCCAACCATAATTAATTTCAGATGATGTCAAATGAGGTCCCTTTCATTCTTCACTTGTATTGATAACCTTGCTATGAACTCCTGGGAGTTTACATATTCAAATCCAGTCAAACTGTTTGAATTATCATATTTTCTAGTTTCATATTGCCCTTCTTTGAGCCAGTAGGGACTTTTTTTGTTTTGTTTTTTGTTTTTTCAAGACAGGGTTTCTCTGTATTGTTTTGGAGGCTGTCCTGGAACTTACTCAGTAGACTCAGAGATCCGCCTGCCTCTGCCTCCCGAGTGCTGGGATTAAAGGCATGAGCCACCAATGCCCGTCCAGTAAGGACATTTTTATTTTGGCTCCTACATCCTTTTGATATTATTCCTTAACTCCAGGATCAATTAATTTCTGTGCACAGCATGGTGTCTCTTATCTACAAGATGTTATAGTTTTCCTGTCCCTGAAGAGGCACTAGTGATTCTTCAAAGAAATATTGACTCTGTATAGAAGGTAAGGCTCCCAGCAGTGAATAGTCATATCAGAGTTAAGGAATACTCAAAATTTTTAATTACTGGGACTGGTGAGATAGTTCAGCAGATAAGGCACTTGCCATCAAGCCTGAAGACCTGAGTTCAATCCCTGCAAGCAATATGAAGGAAGGAGAGAACCAACTCCTGCATGGTGTCTTCTGACCTCCACCCATGTATTCCCCACCTCCAGCATATACACACCAAATACGTAAATGTGAAAATTAATTATTAGGAAGCATAATAAAGCATTTGGGTTGTAGCTTTTAATTTAGCATTTAATGATGACAAATGTGCTTTCCTTGTGCTGTGAAGAATTCTGCAAAAATGCCATTATGGTTTAGAAGCACCCATGTGAAAGCATCTTTCCTTCTGTTTTAGGGATACTGTTACCTCTCACCTGATGGAAAGAAAAAAATGAAGCTCTGCCTGGCTTGCGGACAGTCCATGAGAGCAGAGAAGGGGCTGAAACAGCTGCTTCCAAGCTCTCCATTCTTCTGTGTTTCGGGCTCTGAGCAGAAGTCCTTGGCACGAAGATCTTTCAAGGTCATCAACATTGCCAAGGTACTCACCCACCTACCCTCGGAGCTCTGCTACTACTGCCCATGCAGCAACGATTTGGAAACTTTGGTGCATTTAGATTGGCCTCGCATTCAGGTTCAGCTCCTCTCATCCACTTCATCTTCTTCAGATGCACCTTCCCATCCTGCCAGCATTGATTTCTTTTTCCTCATTGTAATTTAAATTGCATTGTCTCTTAATAGTTCTGCTCGCCTTTGAAGTTAGTTGGGCACTTCTGCGGCTGCAATCTGCAGACACCTTTCTCTTCTCCTTGTGTAGCTTTTAGGAAGGGAAGTAACTTCAAACCTTTATTTAGCACAGTAGCATTTGCCCCCAAATCAATAGGGAAAGCTCCTTTTTTATGAGCATGGTGCATTTCTGGGAGGATTTGAAATGCTGCTGCTAGTAACAGTTCAGGCTAGGTGGGGAAATTCATGCATCCATGTCTAATACCATTTAGAACCCGTAGGGGTGGGGGGACTAACTCTGCCACATTCTGTGACCTTAATTTAAAGTGGCACTATTAAAAAGAAGACCCTTCCCTTCAATCTGAGCAGTGTAAAGAACTGGGGTGGAGGTAGGATTTAATGGGCAGAATAAAAAGGAGGTGATCCTAAATGTGGGCAACCCACCAGCCTGGTGTGCCCCTCAGGGATCATCTGCTGTCTCTAGACCTTACTCCTCTGTCTCAGAATTCTGCTTTATGCTAGAGGTGAACAGGGACAGGTGAACTCAACCCAGGTAGTAACTTGGAAGGAAAAAGGAGCCAGCCCTCTAGGACGCCTGACAGTATTTGGTTTTGCAGAGGTAAATGAAGGACTCCTTTATGTTACAGCAGTTCAGTCCGAGCCTGACCTCTGGGCAGGTTCCTAGGTCAGGATATTGGGGAAAAGCTTTCTAGGGGATGTTCTGCACCTCTTGCCCTTCTCACTCATTTTCTACCAATAGATGGCCTCCTTCTAGAGTTAGTCGTTAAGAAAGTATCTGTAGTACTCATATCCCCTTACTTCAATCCCGGTTCTCTTTGGTCCTGACATCCTTTCTTATACATCTCTTTTTTCCCAAAACAGATATTTTTTAAAATTTTAATTAGAAACAAGCTTGCTTCATATGTCAATCCCAGCTCCCTCTCCCTTCCCTCCTCCCCTGCCCTTATAAATCTCTTATGACCCACCACAAACCCAAACAAACATATAACAACATTTAAGGAAATCTGGAGAAAACCAGAAAGACAGACAAACTGTTTAAAAAGTCAGTGAGAGGACTAGAAAGAGAACTGAGGAATTCCAACCCAACTCTCTTCCTCCTCCATCCTAGGTATTTATAGTACATGATAAAGACACTATAAAGTGTTGGTCTACCCACATACACACATATGCAGACTTTAAATGAGGGGTGGAGATATGCCAAGCTAACAAGGCAGAAGCAACACAATTTGGGTAAACGTTCATTTTATTTTAAACAAACCAGGCTGATTTATCTACTTATGAAGCTGAGAACACTCTAAAGTATTATGAAGAACGTCTGTCATCTTTATGGATGAAGACACGTACATGTACTGCTTCTCACAGTGGTATGGTAGCTTCCTACCAAAAGGCAGTGAAAGTAATCGCATACAAAAATGGGGATGGATATCGGAATGGGAAGTTAATTGTGGCTGGAACATTCCATGAGGTAAGTGGCTATCGCTAAAATGCTTAGAGGTGATGGTGGTAGCGATTCCTGACAAGAAGTACCTCAAAACTGAACAACAGGTAGGCCTGCCTACACCTAATGGTTTAAGCTGATGAGATCAAGATCTCTGTTTTCCTAGAGGCATTCTTTCTGATTGTTTTTCTTTGGATATAAGGCTAGAAACAGTGAGAACCAGTGCCCTGGTTCTTAAGGGGCCCAGAGCAAAGATAAAAAGGAAGAGGGAAAATGGAACAACCAGGCTGTTTTCATCCTCATGAAGGACAGAATGTTTTTCTCCTCCTTGTTGCCCTTGCCCATTCAACAGCAAGTTGAATGTCACCTGGATATTTTTTGTTTGTTATGTTTTGTTTCTAGTTGCCCCCTCATTTGGCATTCAGAGAGTCTGAAGACATATTTGTTGATAAGGTCTTTCACGTCTCTTTTCAAATGCGGGGCCACTTAGGTTGCTAGAGACTATGTGGTTGCTTTGGAGGCTGTGTAGTCAAGGGGGGGAATGCCCCCAAAGTGATGATTCTGTCTCAACAACTTGCCCAATACTTTTAATAGCCTATTTTATAAGGAAGATTAAATACAGTATGTTTTTTTTTCTGCCAATTCCTCCCACCCCCTTCCTGTTGGAAACAATTGACTTTTCTTATTAAGATATTGTTGTTCAGTTCTGGAGAGATGGCTCAACTTTTATGAGTATCTACTACTCTCATAGAGGACATGAGTTTGGGTCCCATACCCATATCTGGTAGCTCATGGCAGTCTGTAGGATCTGACACCCTCTCCTGGCCTCTGGGGGCATCTGCACTCATGTGCACACACAAATGGACAATCAGAAACAAAATTAAAAACAAAAATAAATCTTTTCACAAATGAAACTGCTGATCATTGAACAAAGCAAAGTATGTAAGTTAACCCCAAGATTTACCCAAGGCTCCAAGGCTGGCTTCCTTCCTCTCCCTATCCCCCTCCCTCCCCTCTTCTCTCTGTTTGTCTGTTTTTTGTCTTGTTTGGTTTTTATATTTTTATTTGGTATGAGGGATGGGGCTTGGATTTGGTGTGTGTGCTGGCATTCACTTATGCCACAGTGTACTTAAGGAAGTTAAAGAACAACACAAGGGAGATGATTCCCTCCTGCCACTACGTGGGTCCCAGAGATTGAACTCAAGTTGTCAGGTCTGTAATCAGCCACTTGAAGCCTCTGGGTCATCTTGGTAATTTGTTTTTCTATCTGCAAAATGGAGGTGATAATGCATGACAGTTTGGGTTAGAAGACTAGCTATTTGTTTATTTAAAACTGTTCACCCATTTACAGTATTACAGTTTTATATCTTATAGTACAACAAAATGGAAGGAGATTTCTAAGTTTCACACTTTATGTAGCCGTGTCTCAGAGAAAAATGTGTCAGCATATATAAGCTGCTGGGCTTCAGCTCTAGGGCCAGGAATGTTCAAAATCAGGTTTGACTTACATCAAATTAGAGAAAACAGGCACAAAAAATTAAAATCAACATCAACAGTTATTCAGTGTCTGTTTTCAAAAAATATATGATTTTTTTCAGATTTCTACAATGGCAGGTAGTCTGTTATAATTTCAATTGTCATCATTATTTCCTGTTTTTTAAAATGCTTATTTGTTTTTATTTTTATGTGTTCTGCCTGCGTGTAAGTTGACTTTATGCAGGACTGGTACCCTTAGAGGTCACCAGAGAGAACTGGATCCCCTGGAACTGGAGTTATCTGCAGATGGAAGCCATTATGTGGGTGCTGGGAACGGAGCCTGGGTTCTCTCAAAAGCAGGGAGTATGCTTATGATTGTTGAGCTGGCTCTCAAGCTCCTCCTATCAGTTATTTACTGCTGTGTTATCTCCTATCAGATGCTTACTACCTGTGTTATCTCCTATCAAATGCTTACTGCTTGTGTTATGTAGCTTCTTGCAGAATGCACAGAACGTCTTGGACTCACTAGAGCAGCCTCTAAAGTCTACGCTAGAGATGGAACCAGCATCCGCACCTTGCATGGCTTGGTTCTGTGGGCTATAGGTGAGACCCTTAGCCAGAGAGACCCCAAGGAGCAAGAGAGCAGCCCAGAGTCTGTTGGGACAGAAGAGTCAGCTGCTCAAAATGCAGAAGGTTGGTTAACTTCTACAGGCACTAGTCAGTTCTGTTTATGCTCCATTATCAAAAAGTTAAATATGATTCGTCCAGTTACCGCAGCAAAAATTGTAAAATTCTAGCCAGTGACTTTTGTAAGTGGTTCACAGAGTATCAGATTCTCATATTGTCCTTACCTTTCTTAATAAGTAAATAGATTAATAATAATAATAATAATAAATTCCACTTTTAGAATTGAAACAATAAATTAATTCATAAAATTAACAACAGTAGGCAATTTAACTACTTTTTAAAGCACTAACATTTCTTTGTTCTAAAACTCAGAGCCTAGATCAACTGGGAGCACTGGAGAAACTGTTGCTAGATCAATGCCCCTCCCTTCCTGTGGTTGGAGGGAAGGTCATCCCCCTCTGTTCAGTTCCTGCCCTCTGCTTTCCTTCCCTGACCTTGCTGCTCCCACTGCTTGAGTGAAACACTATAGAAGCTCTGGTGGATGCTCCTTTCTTGCCACTTGTGACACAACAGTATGCTCTCAGTACGAGATTCTCTCCTCCTGTCCTGAAGGCCACGGTTTAGAGGTTATAAGCTTTGGTTTGGGAGTCAGAATATCAGGTTTCAAGTCCCTGATTTGCCAGCTACAGCTGAATGACATTGGCCAAGTTCTTGAACCCCTTTCTACTTCATTCTCATTTGTGACTAGATAAACCAATAATCACCTTCCTTACAGGCTTTTCATGAGAAGCAAAGGAATACAGTGTTGATAAAAAAGCAACAACATGGTAAACTTATATTAAAGGGAATAAGACGAAGTTTATTCTGCAGCCATCTTTTGTAACCATAGCTAGAGAAAACAGATTTATGTTACCCCAAATTCCATGTTCCAGCATGGAAGCAGTTTTATGGTTTCACAGAACAAAGAAAGGTATAAATCACTGTAAGTTTAAAATACATTGATGGGTATACCAGAAAGGCAAGTACAGTGAGATGGAGTAAGTTATTTTTGTAATTCTGATGACATTCTTAGCTTTTGAATTGGTGGAAACTAGTGGTCTGGTGATGGGGGAAGTCCTGTGTATATGCTTATCTTATTGGTTGTTGAATAAAGCATTGTTGGCCAATAGGGAGGCAAAACAAGTGGGAGTAGGAGTCTAGGAGGATTCTGGGAAATGTAGTGAGGAGAGTGGTTACCATGTGATTCCCGGAGAGAGGGAATGCAAGTCTGTGTTCTCAGTAAGCTATGACCTTATAAAAATATATATCAGTAATTATGAGTCAATAATTAAGTCAGAGCTAACCAATGAGAAACAATACCAAATGGCCAACAGCTTCATAATTAATATACTGTCTTGTGTGTTATTTTTGGAAGGACAGAGTAATGCCACTCATCACGACCATCAGAAAGATGTCTTTTTGAAGGCATCTAATATAGTGTCTTGTGTGTTATTTTTGGAAGGACAGAGTAATGCCACTCATCACGACCATCAGAAAGATGTCTTTTTGAAGGCATCTCTTCTTCTTCCATATTCTAAAACATATCCTGGAGCAAGGCAGGATCATTCATGATCTGCTCCTGCATGGAGTTTAGTTTGGGTAATATGCCATTAATTTCCACAGAAGAACATTAAAGAAATAACGATCAAGCCGGGCGGTGGTGGCGCACGCCTTTAATCCCAGCACTCGGGAAGCAGAGGCAGGCAGATCTCTGTGAGTTCGAGGCCAGGCTGGACCGACAGCCTCCAAAACGACACAGAGAAACCCTGTCTCGAAAAACAAACAAACAAAAAAAAACCCCCAAAAAAAACAAAAAGAAAAAGAAAAAGAAAGAAAGAAATAGCGATCAAAATTCAGCATGGTGCTTACTGGGCAGGAAGCAGAAAGAACATACCTGCTAAAGTCACTCAGCTCTGCTGCAGTCCAGCAATGTCACTAAACTTTACATATTTCAGTTACTTATTACAGGTTAATTTCACTTTAAAATATTTTGGAGGATATTCAATTCTTTGGTTGTCTATGACATTTTTTATTAAATGTATGCATTGGCTTCAGTTTAGATAATAATTATGAAAGTCATCAATGAAGAAGAAAATACTTTGGCTAAACAAATGAAATCATAAAGGATATCCATTCATTATTAGCTGACAAGTATAAATGTGTTGCTTGTTTCCCAGAAAACTCAAGAATGAAAATGGAAAACAGATTGGATTGTTTGGAGGGCATAGATAAATCTTTGCTTGCTCAGATCCTCAAAAGTCCTATTGCCATTTGGGTGTCTTGTGGTGAACCATTTCTGCCACTAAATGGTAAGGTTTTTGTTTTTGCTTCCTTCTAGACAATATATAAAGGGAGGGAGAAATAAGTTTAATGTCATGAGAAAATGAATTAAGTGTGTATAATGTCATCATAATAATATTGTATTTATGCAGAGAGCCAATCAGTCAATTAATACATGTGCAAAGATAGCTGTATGCACATATTTGTACAATTGCTTGTTTTTCTCTTGCTGGAATGGATTATTCTGCATGTAGAAGTGTCTAATTTAGTTGATAAAGAGATGCTTGGTCTATAAGGCAGAGAATAATGGTATCCATTAGAAAATAACAAATGAGTTTAATTCACACTGAAGACGACCTGTCTGCACATTTTTATTTTTAAGAATTGCACCCTTTAGGCAGTAGGTGAATGTTTTAAAAAAATGAATGGTCCCAAGTCAGGCTTTCATCACCTCGGAACAGTTGGTGGAAGCAGAAAATGAAATATTGCTATTGCATATGGTAAATCTATACAATAAAGCAGTTTTGATCTCCTTCCTGGTCCACCTCTGTTCCATACAGAAATGCCCTAAGCTTTCTCATCTTTCAAACAAAGTTTCTTTTAACAGCCCTTATCTCTTTTAATTATATCTTTCTAATTCAATCTATCTCTTGAAGCAGAAAGTTCTTTGTAAGTTGCTGGTACCTATGATAAATTACTCTTGATAACAGATCACCATGCAAAACATTATTTTTTTATTGTAGCTCCACAGAACTCAAAAAAATTAAAGAAACAAAACTGGCTAAAAACGGATCAAATTTTGGCTGATTTAGACACCATGAGACACAAGATGCGACAGTTGAAAGGTCAGTGTGGATGAAGCTAGTCATTTTGTTTAATTCCAAATGTAACAACAGTTATCGATAATTATTTTCTACTGTTTGATACCAAATAGATAGCCAGTGTATGTTGCATAAACATTAGGCTACATAAATTAGAACAAAGAATAAAATCTAATAGCACAGCCATTTAGTGCTGATTTTGCATCTGTATATTTTATATGACTTGCGTATACACCAAAAAATAAGAGCCGTCTGTCCTTGCTTTTGAAATATTCCCTTAACTGACTCTGTAGAAACTTTAGTAATAAATAAAACAAGACCTGCACATAACAAAGTAATCTTGCTGTTATTCCTTGGCATTTTATTGCTGGGGAATAAAGTTTATTCATGGGACATTTTTACTTTAGCAATTAGAACAGAGCAATACTGAAATCTTCAAGGTCATGGTCAGTGAGCCAAGGACGCTCTTAATACAGCATCAGATACACTTTCCAAAGCTACCAGCAGGTGTTGCATGTCCAAATCCACTGTTCTCCTCACAGAATCTTAGGTCCCTGACTTTATACTATTCCAAGCACTTGAGACACAGTGATTGTTCAGAGAGAACCAGTGTCCTGTGGACTTAAGTCTGAGAATGAATGCATTTCAGGCTATGTAATCATAGAATTTTGTCTCCTGATTATAAACATTGGCTTATGTCTAAAGTCTATGAATCTTGCTTCAACAACAGTACACATAGTTCTTAATGTAAAAGGCAACTCTGACTTTGGGACAATCAAAATGTCTATTTCTTACCTAAGGAATTATTCCAGCTGTGAGCAAAAGCATTGATGACTACTCCAAATGTCTGCTATTCTTACTGCTAGACATTGAGTGTTCCAGGGACAACCTACACTCAAGCTGTCATGTCACCCAAATGCCAGTGCCTCTTTGTCTCCTCGACCAGTAGTTGTACCACCATCCACCCATGGATCCTCTAACAGGAACCTGCAAGTCTTTCCTTCCCCAAGCAAGTCTTTAGAAAATCTTGTTCCCTGAGTTACATTGAGCACTAATAAATTCCAATCTCCTTAAGTCTCTGTGTTGGTTAGTGTCTGTCAACTTGACAAAAAGTAGAGTCACCAGAAAGAAGGAACCCAACTGAGGAATTGTCTTCATCAGATGGGCCTATAGGCATGTCTGTGGGGGCACTTTTTTTGTGAGTGACTGATGTCTGAGGGCCTGGCCCACTATGGACTATGTCACCCCTGGGTAGGTCTTCCTGGAATTTATAATAAAGCAAATTGAACAAGCCACAGGGAGCAAGCCAGCAAGCAGCATTTCTCCATGGTTATTGCTTCAGCTTTCTGCCTTGAGTTCCTGCCTTGTTTTCCCTCTAGAAGAGTATACTCTGCGAGCCATATAAACCCTTTCCTCCCCAAGTTGCTTGTGGTCAGTGTTTTATCATAGTGACAGAGAAGCTAACTCGAAGAGTCCCCACTCTCTTTAACCAAATTCAAGAACAGCATCTACTGATTGGCTTAGAACAATTCCTAACTAACTGGTTCCAGGCTTCAAGTCTTGACAGCACCATTTTATGGTTACCAGCTTTGCTCATGTTTTTGTTTTTTTTTTTAAAAAAAAAAACTGGGTCTTTGTTCCCACTCACAGTTGGGAAACTAATAATATTACTGAACACCAATTCATAAAATTGAAGATTTCATTCTTAGCCAAAAACCTGAAGAATAGGAGATAAACCTCAAATAAATTCTTAACCCTCAAGTTAAGAACTTAACTCTTGAGTTAAGTACAGCTACTAATGGAAAATATTCCTGTCTCTTCTAGGAACCAGCAAAGGTTTTCCTGTAATTCAGGCATCACTTCTTTTCCCTCCTAGGATTCCTTCAGGTTGTCACCATAGCAACTATCAACTGTACTGGATGTCTTTTAGCATGTAGATGAGATTATAATAAAGTCAGAGATTGACTGCAGGGGTCACTCTGGCAGCCATCAATTTCAATAAACCCTGATAAGAAAGAATTTGCAGCCTATAGCTATACATACCATCCTCAAAGATAACCAAGATTATCATGGGTCAACAATCAGACTGCCAACTCAGTACTCAGGCAATATGAGCAAGGGTGAGACAATCATGTAGAAATACAAAGGTGTTAAGGTAGCCCAGATATAAGAACTGCTGAGGCTCCCCACACCCTTAGAAACAAAGCTGAACCTTCTTCAAGTGGACCCTTATGATACCACTTTCTGTAAGGTGGGATCTGTTTCCTTGCTCACCCCACCCATGAATTTTCTTTAGCACCCTAGGCTTACCATATGCTTTCAAATTTTCTCTCTACTTCAAATTTTCTCCCTCCAACCCTCTTGGATTCTCATTCCTTGTTGTTAGTATGTCTTCATTCCAAGGAGTTTCCCCTCCACACCATATCTTGAACTCCACCACTATGGCCCTCAAGATATTATGGTAATTATTTGTTCTTGGGATTATCCCCTTAGATGAGAAATGTTACACCCTTTTAATATGTTCCTGACTAGTTGTAGAATGATTGAAAGAAAAAAATGAATGGAATTTCAATACATTCACTTCAAGGAATTTTCCAGGCTTCATTTCTTTATTGACTTAAATCAGTAGAAAGCAACATACTGAAAACAGCAACATACTGAAAAATTGCCTTTGCTGAATTCTGGTTTGACATTATACCTTCAACTTTTACTGCAATTTGCAAAAAGATATTTAAATGTAATTTGTTATTATCCACATCACCAACACTGAAATAGTCTATATTTGGTTGGTAATTATCCATTATGGAGTTATCCACACATGTATTTTCTTTTCAGAGTCAATGCTAATTCTTGTCTCACCTAAAATCTGGTGTGTGTTCTCCTGCCACACATAATTTAACACGTAATTACGTGTCTTACTGTGATGAAAACCCTATTCTAGCTACAGGGATTATCAGAATAAATAGAAATCAAGCCTTAGCTCAGGTAACTGCAGGTTCTATTAGATGCTCTCTCTCTCCACCTCCTTACACACACACACACACACACACACACACACACACTCACACACACACACAGAAAGTGGGGGAGGATAGTCCCTAAATCATAATCTCTTTGCCTGTGACTCCTAAATTCTGGGATCATAGGCATGGACCTCGATTAATTCTATACGTCATTTGATGGTTGCCTAAAAGAGGTGTGAGCATTTGCTGAACTGCTGATTCCCAATCATTACAGCTCTTGGCCGCTGTGGAAAGTGCTGTGTACAAAACACTATAGTGAGCAGATTATTCTTCATTTGTAACCACGACCAGTACTATTAATAATAGTAATTATTTTGCAACAATTTTGTGATTACGTAGCTAATGTCAAATAGTTATTATGTAGTTAACAGATAATAGATAAATAAATATTGGTACATGTGTTCCTGGGAAGGAAATATATTTCCTAACTTGGCTTTTTAAACTAATTAAACTCAATATTACACATCAGACCAAAGCATCATCACCCTTGGTACATATGAACCACGTGCACCTGCCAGCCAGACACAGACATTGAAAAGTGTGGGTGTCCCTATAAGGGGATGGAGTGGGGAGAACTGGTGATTAAGGGTCATGTGAGGCAGCAACAAAGCCCTTATGCTCTCTAGCTTCTGAGAGAAAGCTGAAAATGGAACAAGAATCCCCCTCCACTTGTTTTTCTCAGTTTCCAATGGGAGAAGCCACCTGCTGTCATAAGGGCTCCACCTACTTCAAATGAAACAGTGGGAGTAAAGAAGAGGCATGTCCCCAATTAGCCAACACATTGCTATCCCCCAATCTCAAAATAAAGTAGAATATATAGAAACTATAACAAGAAAATGAAATAATTTGTACATAACTCCTTTGCTTGACTTCAGTTTATGCTATCCTTACAAATGTGAATTACAATGTATTATGAAAAGCTTTCCGCTGACTGAAACCTTTTGTGCATTTTCATGAACATCATAGTGTTAATGTATCTGTTTGCTTAGGACCTTTAGAAACAAAGTGACAGAAATAAATGTCATGTAATCTATTTCTCCAGTTCCAGTTTTCAGCTGCTGGCTCTCTCTCTCAGCTGTGTAAATGATAAGCTATTGCTGAACTCTGTTTGTTTGAACAAAATTTGAATGTCCCTTGTGCATTCTAAATATGATATTTGTTGGGGCTGTTTTTCATTAAAATGTATTTTTCATAAATTAAAATTATCTGCACTCTGAATGAAGTTGTAGGAAAGCTGCCTTTTTTATGAATTGTGTTAAACCAGACTGCTATGGTCCAAAGCCTGTTACCTAGTGACGCTGTCACTGTAACTTGTTGACTGATCCAGTTATGCTTTTCCACACACATAGACAGCATATGAAATGCTACTATGCTTACTGTGTTCTTGTTTCGCAGAGAAGTCATTGCCATCACTTATTTTTATTGCTGGATCTTCTCATAAATTTTAGCTGCAAGACACACAGTCTTTATCCTTGGTAAACCCTGAATTGTTTTTAGAGTTTTGTTTGTAACCTTCGTCTGAGAATCTCCAAATTAACGGGATCTTGGCATAAAGCTTAGACTGCAGTTCATTTTCACAGCTCTCTCATTTATCCACGTGAGTGTGGCCTCCCAGTCTCAGGTCAGCAGCGCCCTCCAGTGTCCCCTTTCTCAGTTCGTATTTTTAAGTGTGGACACTCGGACCCGGAGCCTTGAGTGTGTGAGGCAAACGTGAGAGCATTGGGTTGTGCTCTCAATTCTTTTAATTTTGTTTTTTTAAAGTTTTTTAAATTGAGTCAGAGGCTTGCTAAAACGGTTCTAGCTAGCCTTGCATTTACTCAGACAGGCCTCCAACTTGCCATCCTTCTGCCCTATCCTTCATGGAAGCTTGGGTTTCTGTTACCTATATACCACACATAGTATATTTAATAATTTTCTTACCATTTTCCTTCCCTACTAAAGCTGAAGCAAGAACTTGCTGAAACATACAGTGTAAAATGCACAACATAAAGCATGGCTTTTTATTTCAGAAGTTTAGAAAGTGGGGGAGATGCCATGCTGAATACACCTTTAATTCAGAAGTAGAAAATAATACCCTATATGCATGACTCTGAAAACCTTTTATAAGGATTCAAAGTGGTCTTCTTGACAAAATGAATATGCCTGAGTCACCACACTTAATAAACTGTGCCTGCAGGTCTTCAGAACACAGTATTCCAATAAATAGTTTCTCTTACCCCAGCTTTTAAACACCAAGAAAGGCTCAGCAGACACATCAGAAGCAAATTGTGCTCACTGGGTGTTATTTGACAGAAAAAAGAGGGCTCCCATCTCTTCTGCTAATATTATTGTAGAAATACTTAATCCCCAGGCTGTGAAGCTAATTGTGGGGAAGGCTTGTTATTAGTGCAAAGAACAAAACATATGCTCTGAGACTGGATGATATGAAGGGAGCTAAGTAAGGTCATGAATTCTATTTGACTAAATTACTGCTGAACCAGATCACAGATGCTGCGCAGGGGCCAGGTGGAAGTCGGCACGCAATCCTCCTTCTCCATCTGTACAGTCCTGGCCATTTAAAGGCCGACACTTGAATATTTTTAAATATTACCACCTTACTCATCTTGGCTTCTATGATATTTTTAGTATTTTGGCCTATTTCATGCTCCTGGGTAGAGTAATTTATGCATAGAAAGTCAAAACAATTCCTCTAAAGCTTGGAAGCCTCCCTTCAGAAACAGCATCTCTGGGCACCTCTTTCCAGGGCGGCGAGTAGCAGCATGTCAGCCAGCCACCATGGTTCCCACCCAAAGTCCTCTGCAGCCGGTGGTGGTCGAAGGAGGCTGGACTGAGCAGAGTCAAGAGGAAATGAAGCTCATGGAACTTATAAGACAGACAGAGGTATGTTCTTTGATACAACCAGACATTAAAGGCTCTGCCCCTTTTTAGCAGCATTTAAAAGTATCATGTTGAATTTTTAAAACCTGCTATTAATATGCTCTCAGCAACTAGGCAGTTATGACCACCATAAGCATATGCCAAGCATTGAGTTGGCATTTGGAGAGTAGCTATCCTGGAGACAGCCAGCTCACATGAACGTCTGTTTTGTTTGAATGGAGACCAGGAATTGTGACCTTAGTAAAGACGAGAAAAAGGCCCAGTGGATATGTACAAAGGTAATTACACTAAGTGTAGTCAAGTTGAACCGTATGGCTTCATCACTCATCATTCCTGAGGGTACCACTCAATATGTAAAAAGAGCAAGGAACACGATGCTGATCACAATGGAGACATTCAGGAATAAGAAGATGAAAAAGTGGTTTCGGCCAATTGATTAATCAGTCAAGATTGCCAGACATAAAACAGTTGAAAAGATAAAGGTCAGCTGTGGAGACGGAACTGGGCATAGAGACTAGGGGAACCTGCATGCTTTGTGAATTTTTTCATCAAACTATTTGTCACTATTTTAACGGGGCTTCTCAGATTTGTGATGTGTGTCCATTGCAAATTTTAAATGTGGGTCTAAATCAAGGTGACTGCAATGAAGAAGTTGACACTGCTAGAAACCTGACTCCTTGCCAAGTTAAGAAAGACAAGTCTCTAGTCAGGGAGTGAATAAGCAAGCATTGAGCTAGGAGGCTTGAGGGGGGATGAAGAGGTACCAGGCGAGGACTTGGCAAAGCAGAAGGGTGGCAGCTGCATCTCAGAAACCAGAGAACTAGGACTTGTTACGCACAGTCCCCTAAGCATCACTTAGCTAGAGGAAACAAAGCTGTGTTTCTAAATCAAAAACTCACTTGTTCGTTGTATAGACATCTCCTGTAGGAGAAGCACCACACACATGTCCAGAGATGTGTTGCCCTTTATTTCTCAGCATTGCAAATGAGTCAAAGTGAGGCTGTCTGTGTTATTACCCCGTAGCTTCATGGGAGCAAGGGGAATTCACCCAGGTCTATGGCAGGAGAGGTCTGGGCGTGCCACAGTTACTTACTAGAATGATTTTGGTATACATTGTGGTTTCCATCGAATTCCTTTGCACACCAAATCATTTTCCATGTACAGCACTCTCTGGGCTTCCTTGATAGGCACAACTTTCTGAAGGTCAAGAACTGCAGTCCAGACGCTCTCTGATTGCAACTCCACCCAAAGTAACCCAGCAGCAGCACAGCCTGTACCAGGCTCCCCGAGTGAAACGAGTGTGGGCTTACCAGAATGGAGGCAGCCCTGACCGTGGTGCTTATGCCTGGGCCAGCACCATTTCAGAGGTAAATGCAATGTGAATGTCCAGTAGGCCTGGAATCAGACCCCAACTTTGACATCTCTAGATGGTATATCAGGTAGGTTAATAAACTTTTCTGAACCCCTTTTCTCATTTGGACATTGGGAATAATACTTTCCTCACAAGACTGGTCAGATTATTGAATGAGCTCACATGTGTGAACAGTACTATCTGATGTGTGTGTGTGTGTGTGTGTGTGAACTCAAATATGACAAATGCCCAGCAGAGAACAGTGCCAAATGCACTCACTCCAGACCAGACTACCCTTTAAAATCATTTAAGAGCAGGCATGGTGCACAAGCTTCTAATCCCAGAACTTGAGGGTGGAGGCAGGTGGCTGAGGAGCTAAAGATCATTTTTAGCTACAATAGTGAATTTGAGGACAACCAGGGCTGAGTGGGATCATTATAATAACCATTTAAAATGCTTTTCTCATTATTTTAAATCTAGCTCACAAAAAGTCATTCCTACCACCTATCACGAGTTATTCACTAGATATGTTCTTCATGGCAAAGCAACCATGGCTTTTATAGAACGTCTGTCATAGTCTTTCTACCCATCATCCTGGCCCAACAGAATTTCCACCTTAGATAAAGCATTGGCTTGAGGAGACAAGCAGCTTTTCCTGCATTGTAATTTGAGGGGTACAAAACTAAAGTTTGACATTTTTGTATTAGTCTTTAAGTGGAAACTTGAGGCAAGCAGCAAGTGGCTTTATTAGACAAAGGTCTTTCCCTTTGCAACTGTACTGCTAAGTGTTTCACCTGTCTTCTTTTGCGCAGTGTTTGCATAGACTTTCCTAGGAGGAGAGAGAGTCCCAGAAAGAATGGTGGGGGCAGGAGTGGAAGGGTAAGAAGGTGCAATAGAAAGACTTAAGGAAGTTTACCAAGCTGATGAAGGTTCTGAAATAGCAAAGGCATCTCAGCTGAGCTGGCCAACGGGGATGGTCCATTCTCAAAGCCTCGCGTCACCGAGAGAGCCATGAGTGCAGCCATGATGTATCAGAAGCTCATGACTGAGCTGCTGCACTTGAGAAAGGAGGTAAAAGTGTACAGCATCCACAATGAGCAGTAAAGGGAAAATGCTTTGTATACCTGGAGGCAAACGGGAAAACAGTTACTTTAAAAAAAGGAGGGAAAGCCAGGCTTCCTATGAGAGACACCACAGTGTGGTTGAAATGTCCCTCTTCACATCGGTCCCTTCAGAAACCAGAGTCAAATGTTGTTGATGCTACTTTGGAGAGAGCATGTAGCCTTGGCAACTACAGGCAATAAGTAGTGAAAGAATATACAACAATTAACTGATAGGCATAGAACGGAGTGTCGATTACAGAAAAATAGCCTATCAAACCATGTAAGGAAACGCACAAGGAACTCTCCAAAGATTACATATGGTTCTGTCTAGTCAGAACATGAAAGACACTCCATATCTACGGCCCCATGACCATATAATTTTCGTGAACTTTGTATATGGAAGCTGCTATGCTATAAGCTGTGAAGCATCATTTTAACTGATGTCTGTGAGTAGAATTTTATAAGCTTTGGAAGCACTGGGTAATTGACAGGTTAGCATCGATAGTAGACAGCACGTGCTAGGATCCCATTAAATTATGATGTCAAGATGACAGAGACTCCTTACACTCAAAGGCAAGTTGTTTAATGTAGATTATTACATTATAGAATAGAATGATCTGTTATGTAAAAACACTTTAATGACATTCTTGGCAATATGGACTATATTTGACAGGTCTCTTTAATATAAATTATATACTGTTCTTTGTTACTATCTTTAATTTTTTAAGTTAGCACAAAAAAGTATTGGGTTGATTCCTTCAGGGAGGTTTTTGTTTTTGTTGTTGGTTCTTTGTTTGTTTGTTTGGTTTTTTTTTTTTTGAGACAGTGTTTCTCTGGGTAGCCCTGACTGTTTTGGAACTCACTCTGTAGACCAGGCTGGCCTCAAACTCACAGAGATTCAACACCGCCTCTGCCTCCTGAGTGCTGCGATTAAAGGTGGTGCCACCACCATCTGGCCTTCAGGGAGTTTTTATACACACGTGTCGTACTTGGTTCTCAGTAATCCTCCCTCCACTATCCTGTCCCTCACCAGGTCACCTCTCTACCCCCTACCCCAGTCCCCCTGGTCCCCATTCTTCCCAGTAAGTCCTCTGATTTCTTTTCTTTCACATGTAATTCTTTGCTCTATCTCCTATGTCCCTTAAATTGCATTCCTTCCTTTTCCTCATCCCCTTTCTAGTTCCATGACCAGCAAGCATAGATACATAGATATATGCATGCATATATATATATATAATTTAAAAGCTAGGTTCCATGTATAAGAGTAAATGTAGTATTTGCCCTACTGAGTCTGATTTACATACTTGCTTAATATGATTTCCAGTTGCATCTATTATTCTGCAAACGTCATAACTTCATTTTTCTTTATGTTTGCATAATATGTCTTTGTATACATGTGCTACATTTTCTTTATCCATTCATTTACTGGTAAATGGGCATTTCGGCTGGTTCCATTTGCTGACTTTTGGGAACACGGAGGTTCAAGTACCTCTGTGGCATGCTGACTCAGTGTCTTTCTGCTGTACACCTATGGTGGTGTAGCAGGGTCCTTTTGATCTGGTTTCAGTTTTGTGAAGACCCTGCATATTGACTTTCATAGTGGCTTCACAAGCCTTTATTCCTCTTCGTCATGTATAAATGCTCCTGCTCTCCTCTGTCTTCTCCATCACTTGCTGCTGCTTGCTTTCTTGGTGGTAGTCATTCTTATTTCCCTGGTGGCTAAAGACATAAAATACATTTGATGGTATTTGATGGACATATGCACTTCTTGTTTTCATAATAGTCTATGCAGTTCACCAACCCACTTTTTTTACTGAATAATTTAGTCCCTCAGTACTGGGGTGGGTGCAGGCAGGGGTCCTGCAGGAGAGATGATGCCCCCATGGGTGTATTCCCCTGGGACTTCAGAGTTCTAGTGCTCTACGGCAGACAATGAGAAAGTTGGCTCTAGAATATGATCCATCTGCTGGCTCAGAGCTTTTAAACCCCAGGGTAATTCTCAGATATGATCTGTCTCAGGTCACTTGTGGTGGGCCTGTCTTTTTCTGTACACCCCCGCCGGAGCCAGCCTCTTGCTACCTGAGATATGTCTGGATCACTTGAGGTGGGCCTGTTTTTCTCTGTGCATTGCCCAGCTGGAGCCAGCCTCCTTCTGCCTGCATCCTACCTGCTCTCTGCAACTGCCTCGCTGAGCCTTCCCCCACCCAGGTGCTGTGTCAGACCAAATCAAGGCTCCCCAGCCTGAGGGTGTCTCCTGCTCTCAGGCCCACAAGGTAGCCAGATTCTGTTTCAAAATGGCTATCGGTCGCTGTCCTCTGAGACGTGGTGTGATAAAATTGGACATTTCTCCACTGTTTCTTACATCCTGCAACTAGATTTAAAGCTCATGAAGACGGTGGGCTTGACCTGAGTGTGGGACTGACTGTTTCATCTGGGTTACAGCTTGGAGACAACTGCTGAGTCCTCTTCCTGCCTAAGGGGCTGTGCCATGCAAGTTGTGTTCAGCTTGCTCCTCTGAGTAACGGCACACATTGTCTTTGCTATTTCCGAGGACTCTCTACTTCTTTGGGGAATTTCAGAAACAGCTTGTCTCTGTTCCTTTCTTCAAAGTCTGTTTTTTCTTATTATTCTTAATCTCTCTTTCACCAGCTCTCACAGAAGTAGCCTCTAATCTGTCATCTTACTAGCTAACAGAGAGAATGAAATACATCCAGTCTTTAACTGATACAAAGAAACAGGTGCTCTCATGTTGATAGAAATTGAACGTTTTAGAGAACAAGCACTTGGATATGCATCTCATAAGCAAATGGATGTCTGTATGCATCCACATTAGCATTTTTGTCGCTGTGACAAAATAATGGGCAGATGCACTCATGGGAGAAAGAATTTATTTTAGCTCATGGTTCTAGTCCATCAGAGCATGGAGCCTGCAATAGAGTTCATGATGGCAGGAGCATGTACCTGTTGTTTCTCACATTTCATCAGATAAGGAAGCAGAAACCAAAATTAGGGATGGCCCACTGGTTGAGGAATAGTCCATGAGACTGTGGGGTGACATTTCACACTTGAACCGTAACTTACCCCAAGAGCATTTCATGAACTCATGCAAAGTTTGTTTGCTAGAGATCTTAATCACAGACATGTTTTCAATAGAGATAAACTATAAATAATTTTAAAGCTTATCAATCAGAAATTGGTTAAATGAATTATGGCACATAGGATTGAGTATCATAATTAAAATCAATTTTAAGAAAGAATAAAAACAACAAATATGGTTGAGATACACGAAGTAAAAGAAACAAAATCTAAGGCATGTGGAATTAGGTTCTGTACACGCATACACTGGTAAATTGAAAGCAGCATGGAAGGACTTAAGGCTCTCAGTATCCACTTTTGATTGGGCCGTATCATGGGTTACTTTTATTTTCTTTTTTGTGTGTTTGTATGTCCTATATTTTATGATGAATGCTATTGTTCTTATATGATAATGGAACTGACCATCTTCTTGGAGAAGGACTGGCAAATGTGATGAAGGTCAAGTTAGTAGAAGTTCAGTAGGACCATCAAGGGAGGGAGGCTTTATCCACCTGGGATAAGGGACAACAATACAAAGGAATCTATTGCCACCTCTGACAGGACTTGAGAAAGGGGCATCCCTCAGCAACTTAGGCAGAAGTCGTGTTAATGAGGAGAAGTGCCTCACAAAGGCACATGTGTTTGCGTTGATGTGGTATGGTAAGCAGATAGTACTCACACCAAGGGATAGGGTGAGGTATGACTGTCTCCAGAGACTGTGTGAAAGTGGCTGGTATTAGTCTGCTTGGAATGTGCTGTGGCTTTCCCCTTGCAGGATTGGGTGTTTGGACACCTGGTCCCTAGCAGTGGCACTGTTTGAGAAGGTTGTAGACCCTTC